TATGAGAACGCTTGTTGATCGAATGTAGCCGAGAAAAAAACTGGTGCCGTGTTGTATATTATTTTTAGGAGTCATGTGTAACGATCATTCTGACAATAGAAAGTTCTACAAATAAATCTTCAGCAAAATGCAGTTTCATGCTATTTTCGGTGAGTGTAGCATTTTCCTGACGCAAATCTCGGGCTACAAGGAAACAAAACGTTTCAATTGTAAACGAGCTGGGTAGCCACGCCGTAGCTCCTTTTTTCGAGCTTTGTGTCTGCTTTCTCTGATGGTTAATCTTTACATGTTTATACTCTTGGGTGAAGACAGGCATTGTAAGAGTTACGCGTCTCGCCAAAGAACACATTTCGAACAACAGTCGCGTAAAGTTAACATCGACCAAAAGAAGGTCACGCGCATTGGTGTTGCGTTACGAAAGTTCGTAACGATAGGAACGTTCCGGAAGTTGTAATGCTAAATATTGAGTTTCTTTCATGTCTCGATACGATGACCTCCGTCGTAACTAACTCGCCGTTAAAAAAAAAGGTGGTGACTTTTGATTTTATCTTCTCCAAAAATTACAGATATATCTATGATTTTGAAAATGTCAAGAGAATTATTCGCGGCTACGAATTAAAATCGTCAACAAAGTTTCACTTGATCAAAGGTCCGGAGGATTTGGCGCGAAGAGGTGAGATAGTCATAATATTATATGGATCAAATAAACCGGATCCGACTCGGAGGGCAGAGAGTGACACAACTTCATTGGAAGCCCTTTTCATTGAGCAATAAAACAAAGAAGGTAAAGGATTATTCTCGCAATAAGGAAGGGTACGTAACGATCTACAAAAAAACTTTCTACTGGGGGAGGTCACTGTGAAGGCAAATGGGTGGAAGAGTCCAAGTGTTCGCCCACTGAGCCGTGGAACAGCTGTAACGTTATCATATTGTCACGCGCCTAATTGCGGCTGACTTCATATTATTGGTTGTCATGATTGGCGATGTGAACAAAAGAACAATAGAAACAAGGACTCAAAGCAATGCCTACAGTGTTCAAAGCAATTGTCAAAACCATCTGAAATTAGAGGTTCACACGTGGTACCGATACATTTTGCTTTGACGAAGAGAGAGAGAGAGAGAGAACACCCTTAATCATGGCTGCCGTTGAAAGCTCTAACAGTTACACCTGGTTGGCGGTAATCTTAAGCGTTCTGACGTTCATCTACTGGCAAGGTCTCAGTCGTTATAATTCGATTCTTGGTGGCTCTCCTTTGCGGGGCCCAAAAGTATGGCCATGGATAGGCAACCTCCTCGATATCTTTAAATATGGAGGTATACATAAGATGTTCTTAAACTATTTCCGCAAGTACGGACGAGTACATACGATGTGTTTTGGTCGCACACCAGTTATTGTTGTAAGCGATCCTGAAATTGTCAAGCAAATTTTGGTCAAGGACTTTTATAAGTTCCCAAATCGACCTACCTTCATTAAACCGAATCCTCCATTGGATTCAGGACTGTTCCAAGCGGAGAACGGCAAATGGAAGCGCATTCGCACTACAGTGGCTCCAACGTTTACAGCGAGCAAACTGAAAGAGATTGTGCCGATTATAGACGATGCCTCGCAAAAGCTTATGGCCAAAATGGAAAAGTTTGCCGAAACCGGTAAGTCTGACATTTTGGGTGTATTCATAGAGTTACGTAATAACGGGAATGCCGCCAAGCCTTAAATGAAACTAGTATCCAACTGTCGTAGATCAACTTTCCTTCATGAAGACTTTTTTAAGTTAGCAATTTTGTTTTCTCGATCAGAAATTTTCTTGAGAGCGAATACTTGAGACGCTGAGAAAATTTATTTCTTTGATACAATCTTTCAGCCTGTTTGATCACGACGTCTGTAGGTCAGGTTGCTTTCAATGGCCTCTTTTGTTTGGATGGATCGAAATAGAATTTGCCCTGACGAGGGGTTACCAACTCACACGAAAGGGACGGTTTATTGTTCTCGTTTTGCTCACACCATTATTTTTCTTTCGAAATAAGAGTTTCTTCTCGGCTTCGGAATCTTGGTACTTATTTTTGTGTGGGCAGTTGATTTGTTTATTCACGGTAAGGACAGGCCTGAACTTGTAGGAAATGCAATGATATGCTCATGTCAGCCTCATTTGAATAACACGTCCAAACCTGTATAACCAATGATGCGTTCAGCTTCATTATCATTACACGTCTGAACCTGCCCGAAGTTATAAGTGTCTTTTAAAAGCGAGGTCACGCAACTTTTAGGCTGACTCAAGTCGGTACTTAACGATGAGCCGATTTCAACGCAACATCTCTGCGTTAAAAATGCACTGTCTGATTTTTTTCGAAATTCGACATTCCTTTCCGGCAACAAGTAGCAAGGTTGTGAAAGCCGTTCGAAAACCAGTTACATTGTTTCCAGAATTTTTATATTGCGCTAAGAATTGACCGGCGTAATTAACTCAACAAAGGTGCCTTAATGCTGTTCCGTGTAACGTGTTAAAAATTTGCGTTTGAGATCAGCCGGTGAGTGAGTGATATTTCAGTGAGCGGGGCTCGGGAAGGGTGCGGACCGCCTTATTTGCAGGTTACAGCTTCCTCTTCAGCTTTAATTGATGTTGCACTGATCGTTAATTTCATTGTCCTTTATAAATCTTCCAGGTGAATCAGTGGATGTCAACCGTCTGTTTAGTCTCTTTGCCTTAGAGGTGATCATGAAAGCAGCCTTTGGATTTGACAGCGACGTTCAAATGAATCCAGATCCAGAATTTGTCGAAAAAGCCAACAACGTCTTTAAAACACCAGTGGTTATAAGAGTGTTCTCTTTGTTTCCCTTCTGGACCTACTTCAGCCGTTACTTCAGCATCCTCCAAAATGTTGAATATTTTATTTCCATAGCAAAAGAAATGCTTCAAAAGAGGGCCAAGAAAGGTCCTACTGCAAAGAAAGACTTAGTGGAGCTTATGATGGAAGCACAGGAGAACATCGTCGATGGAGTCAGCAAGTTGAACGACGATGAAATCATGGCCCAGTCTATCACTTTCTTGGTGGCCGGCTTCGAGACAACCGGTAGCACTTTAACAAGCACAGCTTACCTCCTTGCTACCAATCCAGCGGTTCAGGATAAGCTCATTGAGGAGATCGACAAAGCAGAAGTAGAGATGGCCCGTAACAACTCTTCTCTTTATGACCATGTCCAAAAACTCGGGTACCTGGATCAAGTCATCTCCGAGGTCCTACGCCTCTGTTCTCCAGCCTTTAATCTTGTTCGTGGCTGTGAAGAAGAAGTGGTCTACAAAGGCATCCGGTTTCCAAAGGGAGTTGAAGTCAACATCCCGTCATACGTGCTGCACCGGGACCCAGAGGTGTGGAAGAATCCACTGCAGTTTAACCCTGAGAATTTCTCCCCTGAAGCAAAAGAAAAACGGAACCCGTATTCCTTCATTCCATTCGGAACTGGCCCGCGTCATTGCCTCGGGATGCGTTTTGCCCTATTGGAGATTAAAGTCGCCCTGTTGAAGATCTTGCAACGATTCAAATTTGAGTGCGCTCCAGAAACCGTGGCTACGCTGGAGCACCGGGCGGTAATTCTAATGGCGCCAAAAGATATGATATACCTTAAGATAAAAGCACGTTAGAACAGCCACGAAGCTTCTTATTTGGTAGTATTGCATGTTAAAGTTGTCAACATCATCTTTATGTGTAACCTCTTCTTATATTATGTTTCGTACTTATCTGACTGTATGAATTTAGGCACGTAACAAATAATTGCGAGGTCCAATACACCAGTTCAGTATCCTCCGCTCAGTACATTTTATGGTAAACGTAATCAGTTAACGAAGATCAGAAATCTATCCTGTTATGTACGTAGATTTTTTGATCAGTAGCTTCAGTTATAGCCAGGCTCACGCGGCGTATCGAGAAATATTTTATTGTGATTAATTAAGATTTAAGTTGTCTGAAACAAATATCTCTTAACCCGTGTTTTTTTTTTTAAATAGATAACAAATCTGTAGAAGCATTTTGTAAGTTTCAGCACTGGCTAGATTTGCTTCTTTTATTTTCGTTCATTGTAAAAATTCATCACAGCATGATTCTGTTCCGCCCCCAAATTTCGGCGCTAGTTTGATTTAAGTTATTCAAAAAACACACTTCCCATTTTATTTTATTGTTTTGCTTCGCTTACAGATGAAATTTCTGAAGTTTTTTCCCGGTTAAATAATTTGCTCTGATGATATTGTATTCTTCGGACGGTTTAGCATTTTTATATTTATTTCGTTGCACCATTGTTTAGTTGAAAATAGAAACGGTTTTTTGTACCTATCAGTTCGAGCACGAGGTAAGGAGAAGTTTTTAGAAGGACCAAGAATATAACAAGACCTTTTGGAGACGAAATCAGGACAAAGGTCGCTACAATAAGGCGGATATCGGCGAGGACCGGCAAGAATCGGCGGGAATAGGTTAACAACTGACATACACGTGTGCTCTTCGGTAATCAGCAATGTTGAAACCAATTTATAATTAATACTACCGAAAGGAATAAACTCTCTTTTTTTCTCTATTATTTCTAACAGTATTCTTTATTGACGGATGAAAGTTGTCTGCGACAACAACCGTTCCAGGGTCTTCCGATCCCCCTTAAATACTTTGAGTCAGAATCGCTAAGGTTCTCCCACACTTCTGTAATCTGGAAAACGGGAGAATACTTCGAGGAACTTTTCTGATGGAGTGTGCAGCCCACTTCCTGCAATTTTCCTTAGTTCCCGATTTCAGCTCAAACCTGATCCGAATATTAACATTTCGCGCCTCTCAAGTTAACATTAATATTTTCCATACTGTCCTAAATTAGATTTAGATTTCTTTAGACAAAGGAAATAAATTATGTTTCAGTTGGAATTTTAGTTTCTAACGGTAATCGAAAGTTATAGCCATGATACCAGCATTAGCAGGAACTTATTAAAATATTTCGGTTTCGTCTTCGTTGAGCAAACTTCGGGTCGGTGGAAGGGGGCATTTCACAGCGCCTTCCGGTTCTCCTACGTACAAAACATTATGTTTGTACAACTTAAAGCCCTAATCATTATAGTTTTAAGTTCCATGGCTACAATGTTAGTTTGCGATGTGAGTGCAGTTGGAACTGATACGGAGAGAAGATGTAAGAAGCTTTTATGTCCTGCTGCAGAGGATACCAGTTGTGGCAACATCCACTGTTTCATGAATGATTCTACAGTCACGTTTGAGGTTCATAATTTCAAACTGGGAAAAAGTAAGTTCTAGATTTTAAAATTTGTAATTGATTTCTCGATTCCATCTGATGAGCAATGTGCCCTTGCGGAGCAGAAAGAATTTGCCCTTGCGGAGCAAAAAGAATCCGTAATTAAAGATTAGCAGCCTATAACGGAAATGTTTAATTAGAATTTGTGAGGTACATTCAATCATCTCATTATATTTACTATTATATAGCGCGTTGACGAGATGCGTCACGTTCAGTGTATCTTGAATAACTTAGCACAAAAATCTCATTGACTTCAGGTTTAGCAGTCCGTGACAATCGATCCCAGCCTTGTTTATATTCGTTTCATTGTTGATACAAAACGAAGCCAAATTTTAGTAATCTGTTCATTTGCTGTATCGGTGGCTTACAGAAATGAGTGTTCGAAATTGAAACCTCGAGCTCTCTACCTCTTCAGACGATGCAAATTTCTTCGTGTTTGGTGTATTTTATTACTACATCTCAAAAACGAAATTTATCTGATCTAGCTTTTTTTTTGTTTTAATCTTCAGGTTATGTAGGATTCTTAATAATATACAATCAAACACTGTGCAAAGTTTCCACTCTGCAAAAAATTGAAAATACCGCGAAACTGATCAACGACACTGTCCCGAAGTACTGTAACAAGACTCTGTGGCAAAAGATTAACTTAACATATGGAAACTCGAGTAGATTTGGAGTCCAACTTAAGGTAAAAAAAACTTACAGAATACTGATACAAAGTTCCCTTAGGAAAATTCCTTACTCATTTGATACACGTGGTGTTCAAATCGAGATTGTGGTGACGCGATCTGCACATTAGACAGAAAGATTGCACAAAAGACAAAATTTTCCGTTGGAAGGCGATATCGCGATGTAATAGCAAATTCTTCTGCTGGCTGATTTACAAAGAATTGTACGGCAGCTGGATCCTTTACCTTCTAAGAGAGGAGCCACCAGTATCTAATCTCTCCTCACAATTTTAAACCCAAATCACACATTTAGGAAAGGAGAATAAGGGAGATGATCACCAACTAATGATGCTCTTGATTGTTAAACAAATTCCCCTTGTTAACACCTTAGGAAATGTATAGAGAACAGTATGGAGAATATGCATACTGATGTTAGGGTGGATCTTAAAAGTTTATCTTGCATGTCGATGTCGATGCGACCTAGTTGTGTACGAGAGAAATTGTTAGAAAATCATGGAGCAATTTACGAGTTAAGTCAACTTTTTGCTTTAGAGCTAAGATGAATTTTCTCTCCTTTCTTCATTTGTACACAGGATGGGATTGATGGCATCTTCGTGTTTAGCATAGGGAAAGTTTCGTTGACAGCCTTCATGTGCTTGGGATGGGAAGACTACAGGCAACGCTACGGTAAAAGTTGATTCATTCATTTTTATAACATAGCTAGTAAATTTGTCTAATCCAATTCAATTGCTTGAGCGTGCTTCATATTCCTATTGTGCACACTCATGACGTCAGCAAACAAATCCCTCGAGAAAAAAAATTTCCATCGGGTTGAAAACGTTATAAAACAATTGGCTCATACGTTAGCTGTGCGTTCATCGAGATATGAAGCACGCGGGAAGTTTGGAGAGCACGAAAGATGCGTAAGAGCTGCTCGAGGCGTAGCCGAGAGCAACTCTAGTTTCTTGTTAATTATCTTCAGTTTTCTTGCACTCTAATGAAGCTTAAAAATCCAATCGTCTCAATAATCATGTTGTTACTTCCTTTTCAGATATTCGCGCATGCTACGAAAACGAAAACTTCCCGAGCATCTCACCAACAAATCCTGTAAACCGAAAAACAGCAGAAACATATCGCCCTCTGACATATTGTGTGGTAGTGACATTTTTGCTGCTGGAAGTCTTGGTGTGTGCGGTAATATATCTTTGTCTGAAGAGAAAACGCGGGTAAGATCTGATGAGGATGTCTCTCTTTTTGCTCCTGATTACCCGTTTAGTGTCGCGTTAGTACATCTCTTTAGATATAAATATTAACTTGTTGACAGTAGTTGGTTATGGTCAGGGTTAACGTTCCCAATTTGCTTAGCGGTTTTGCATAAAACAATGGTTACCCGTTAAAGGCGCGATATACTCGACGAGTCAGTTAGTTAACGCTCGCTAGATTTCACGCGGGATCTCGCATTTAAGACATCGTGAAGTGCAATTCTTCCCTCCCTTTTGGCATTCGCAAGTGTGCGATCTCTGATCATGACTGATCGGAAATAATTAAACAGTATGAAATCGGACAAATCTAAGACAATATGTCGAACATATTCAGTTGTTTTACAGCCTCTCGTCTAATAGGCTGCCAAAAAAAGCTGTTCAAATAAGGAGCGATGTTGTTTCATGTGTACAAATAAAATACAAACTAGGATGAAATTAAATTAGTTATATGTGCGACTTTGTCATTTAAAATCTGTACGTAATGTATTCTCTATAGGCGCACGAAAGAAGAAGAAGAAAACACCGCGGGTATGCATTGGTTTAGAGGTATTTGTTGTTGTAATTATTTTTATGTCGCTGACGGTGGGTAATTTTGAAATATTTTTGATTAAATGTCGAAAATGGTCCAGAGCTGTTTTAGGTTTATTTTGACTGCACTTTAATTCTGATCGCCTCTAAGAACTCGCGCAAACTGTTCAACCGATCAGAAAAAATTGCTGCTAAATTAGTATGACTAAGCGCGACTTAATCACGAGAACTATCCAGGGTTTAGGTTTGGCGAGACGGTGACGCGAAGGGATCACAATGCCCATACACTTTATGTCATCAGCCGGATATTTGCATTTGAGCGGATTGGCTGTGATGATTGCTTTGGTTTTGCTTTTCTAAAGATATTCGATGGAAAATTGCACCAATTGCAACCATATCTATCTCTGTAGGTAATCCCATCTACCAGCGAGGTGTGCAGGTTTTGGACCTTGAGCCAAGTGACGCATTAAACGCAACTCAAGACTCGTACCAGCCTCTTGTCGAAAACACAAGGGAACCTGGAGTGAGTGAGGACTATCGAAGTCTTGAGAACGAAGAAGGATGTGATGAGAGGAATACCGTTTTTGTAGACCAAACAGGCTACGAAGGTCTTGCTCGGAGCCAGACACACAAATACCAAAGCTTAGCCAAGGTAGGAAAGAAAAAGGTACTCTGCTGCAGCAATCGTATCATGGCTTTTAGCAATATGTACGAGAAGATACCAGGGAACAATTAGTTACCGATAAACTACTCGGTATTTTAAAATTACTCACCGAGAATCTTATGGCATAAAATTCTCGGTGATACCAAGGACTTTTCATGCTATCTAGTTATTGACAAGTGTCATCGCTTCTTAAAACTTGATTCCTGAGTGTTTTTCCATCTTCTTTTTTTCTTTTCCACAGGACAAGGCATGCAAAACGGATCAAAGAAAATCCGATGACATCGACCCCAAAAACTCGAGAAAGTCTAACACAAGTCGTTCAGAAACTGATCAACGTTTTCCAGTTACTTTCCAGTCCAAAGGAGACCCTCTCGATTCGCTGCGAAATGTGATCAAATCAGCAATTCCACTTCGACCTCACACATCCTCCTTCTCCCCTAATAACCACCAAGAAGGCGATTCAACTCCTTTCGATCAGTCTACAAATGCGCCATTGTACTATCTCTTAGAGAGCCCAGGGAACACCGCTGGAAAGGGACCTGCCTGCACCGACACGTACCCAAAAGAATCCAACTTGGTTCCTCTGCAAATGCGAGGCGTTATCGAAGAACTTAAGGCTGGCACTACCTGCAGGAGTGTCGAGTTTGACAGCACGAAAGAGGAGCCAATGTATCACGTCCTCGAGGGGCCAAATCCTACACCAGACCGCATGCGTAATGTCATTGAGGAGCTAAAAAGTCTCAACAAAGCTGGCCAAAGAAGAGAATCGTCAAATGAATGTAACACAGCTCGTCCAGATAATGTCTTTGTAGACCCAAGAGACTCAGAAGATGAAAATGAAGGGTACAAAGATCCGTAGCGAGCTTTTCTACACAACGTAAGAGCAAATGAAAGGCCAACGCTCAAAACGACGGCCAATTTACATCACCAACTCAGTTAATAAAACCAAATCATCATGTTATACCCCAGAGCTACTCAGCAATACAGTTTCTCCAGAAACTAACCCCGTTTTCTGGAGTTCAAGTGGAGATTTTCCATCACAACACCTCTCGAAAGCAAGAGCTACGTTCGCGTTAGGTTCGAATGATGAGATAAAGTCGCTTACAATATATCAATTAGTTTATCCTACGGTAAAATATGAGTGTCACACAAAAATACAAGACATGAATGAGATAAAACACAAAAAAATATTGATCATATTACTGTAAATTTCCTAAGAAGTACATTAATGGCGAGTCATTCAATTTTTTTGAAATAACTCGATATCAAATTGCTGCAACATTTAAATTGTAAAATTGTGGAGTACTGCGTATCCTTCACAAATGTTATCATATATTATTTAAATATAACTATTTCCCTGAAAGAAGTTTATATTGAGTGCTAACTATAAGTATCGAGGCAAAAAGGACATTTCAATTGCCTCCGTGTAGAATAAAAAATTACACTTTATTTTATGCTTTTCCCCAAATTTGAAAATGTTCTTTTTGCTCTTTTACATCCTCAATCCATTTTTATGACATATCTCCCTCAATAAATCTCGCCTTATTTCAGCGATTTTTGTTTTGAGAAAGTCTTATCGAGGTATTATAACAATGCACATTTCCATCTATCCCATCTTTCATCGAGCGACCTCGCATCTGTACGTCCACGTCATAGTGTCCGCGTGCTGATTTGATCACGTGATGTTCACGTGAGGCTCACGTCGATACTGGTGTGAGATTCCGTTTTTTCGCCTGTTCTTGAAGTTTGTTTTTCACAGAGTCAATTCCAAGAATCTGGGAGAAAAAGATTTGGAAATAAATCATTTGGAAATGATACGAAAAAAAAGGTATGCAAATTATCATTTTATTTCAATCATAGGCTAAGGTACTTTCTGGTGGTTATTTACGTCACAGTTTTAATCTTGTACATAACCTTGTACGTCATGATCAGTGGGCTCCATCAAGTCTTTATGCAATCCAAGAAAATCTTTTCCATCCCTTCCCGTCTTGTTGTTGCTTTAAAGTTTATTATTTTAACCAATGGGCTTTTTCCTTATTAATTTTTCGTTGTTTGTTTGCAATTTTCTCTATCACACGAAACAACTGATTTTAGTTCTCTCTTTGTGTGTCATTTCGTGGCTCCTTCAATGAACTAATTCCTTGATTCTTCGTCTCCTTAAAGCCATGGTCGGCTGGGCCATTTTGTTCATTGATGTCGAAAAGAACCCTGGGATTGCAACGGGATTGCTCTACTTCGCTCTGTGATTCGTTTAGACTGAACCAAGCTAATTTTTTAGTTTTAAACATGTCAAATTTACTTCAATTTTTTAACTTGGCTTTTAGTTGTTTTACTTGTTTCTTTGTTTGTTTTTTTAGCCTGTTGCGAGCTCTCAAGCTGGGAACAGCAAAAGAGAGGCTTAGGCAAACGGCGGTCGCCGTTTTTAAGTGCAAGCTGTCTCTGTCCGAGCCCCCACCTCTCTTCAAGCGACCGCTGTCTTGTTCTTATCCACTCTCTTTGCAAATTAATCATTCAAATACTTTATAGCTTTAACGTTTACTCTGGAATTAAGTGCTGACTGCAGAACAGTCCTAATAAGATCAAAAGACAGCTTTATTGAACATGTCATGGCTATCCATGTGGGACAACCCCCACACGTCCAACCCTATATTACTCGCTTAAGCAGTAGCGGACTGTTCTGCAGGTAAGTGCACGTGCGTGAAGTTTAAGTTGCAGGTGAAATGATATGCAGGTTGTTTTCAGAATTATGTTACCTGCCTCCTTCAGAGTCGGCCTGCTCAGACCTCAGCTCGTTGAGTACAGCCTAACGTTAAATTTTTAGAGTTTGATTGTATTAATTTTAAAGTATGGTTTATACTATATACTATATACTGATATAACCATACGCTTTAGTATGGTTATATCATTTGTTAGACGAACCGCTTTTGCCAGAAGTGTTCTAGATACACTTAGATGCACTCAACCAGTCAGTAAAACTAAATTCTGTTTCATTTTAAAGAAAGTTCTATTCAAAATTACTTAGACTTGACTAACAACATCGTACGTTTATAGGCGTAACATATAAGTATTTTTACACCAACTTTAAATTGATAACAGGTTTATGTGCTTAGTAAGATAGGTTTTGACGTCGTTTTTACGTTAATGCTGAATTAACTGCTATTTATTTTAAGGAGCGGTGGTATTTCTTTCCTACTCTTTGAGCGGTTCGCTTTAGAATGATTTTAAGCCTTACGAAATATTTCGTACCGAAGGAATTGGAACGGAGCTAATTACTTCTTTCAAAACTTGTTCTGGAAATGTTCTTATGGGGAAGATGATACTATGTAACTTACTCGCCAATATATTTAGAGGGGGCGCTTCATGTAAACTTATAAAAGAGAGAGAAAGATGATAAACATTTGTCAAAAGTGATACAAGGAGACATCTGAGTCTCCCCAAAGGAACAGAACCAAACACCTTCTGGTATCGTAGTAGAATGCTCGAAGGAAACGCCCTGCATACTTCCAAAACAGGAAATACATATCGAAAGCATTCTGTCAGGAAAATTTATTATCAGAATTTGTTTTTCAGATCAAGACATACCTGCCAATTCAAGATGGCGGTTTTCCTTTTGTCAGCTTTACTTGGCAAGCTGCTCTTTTTGATCACCATTAATCCTCTTCGCCTTTCTTCGCTTCCTTCCGATGCCATGTTAACAGAGTAGTCATCCTGTAGCCTTTTCAGCTCCAATGGGCTCACTGAACGTTCTAATACCATGATAATCTGTGCCCACTAAAAAACAAAACCACAGATCTCTCTCATCGGTATGTTCAATATATATGCACACTGCGATTGTTCATCCAAGGGGGCTGTACTCTACTTCTCAGTTCACAACATTTCAAGCTGTTTTTGCGCCAAAATCTCTCGTTATCTGTCGTTAATTCTTCTTAACTTCAGTGTGGGAAAACGAAAGTTTTCTTAAGTTTATATGACGTGCTAACAATTAGACGAAGACTTCCCATTTGATCCGTTTTTCTTTTGCAGTGCGTCATTCATTAGAAGCCCTTTCGCGCGCCTAGAAGTCATTTCCCGAACCCGTCAGACACGCAGTGGTAATAAAATAATTTTGTGTATTGGGTTGGGTCGTACTGTAATTTAGGGATCCTTTTTTACCCTCGAACTTTGATAACATTCCCTTTAGGTACTACTTTGCTTCTCTTAATACTTTAACCCCTTGCAGTGACCAGCATCTAATTTCTCCTCACAATATCACCCCTAAATTACACATTAGGGTCACAAGAATGAGGGAAATGATCACCAACTGAAGAAATTGTTGATTGTTAAACAAATTCTCCTTGTCAGCACCTTAAGAAATTTATAGAGAACATTATGGAGAATATACATACTAATGCTTGGGTGAAAAGGACAATCGCACCCGGATTTTAACTCGGATTCGGTGGAATGTTTTAAGTAATTAGGAACCACAATGAGTTTAGGTCACAGGACTTTGCAATTGACTTTATACATAGACTTGTGTCACCTTCTCCGCAAATCAGAAGCAAATACATTGGTTTTGGCGAAGTCGATTGAAGAGGATTTGCCTTGTGTACATACAAACTAATTATCAGTTGAAATATGATCTTAAATCTTACCTGCCTTCTCCATTCTTTGGCCGAACGGTCTGAGATCTACCACACCAAAAGTAAACAAATTTTAAAGAGCAAAACAAGAAACAAAATGATAACAACAATAACAACAAAAACCAGAAACAAAGTTGAGCCTAATAACTTCCCAAGCTTATCGCTGTTTCCATGGTATGTACTGATGAGGGGTAATTGAATTTTGTTAGGTTTCCCCTTAATGTTTTGTCAGGTTTTCCTATAGCATTTTGTTATGGGTCACCCCCCCGGAATTTTTCACGTTATCCCACGGCATTAAGTCAGATTTTTCTGAAGCATTCAGGATTTCCCGCGGCATTTTGACAGGTTTCCCTACAGTATTTTGTTAAGAGTTCCCTCGGTATTTTATCACGTCACCCCGGCATTTTGGCTGGTTTCTCACCAGCATTTTTAGCAGGTTTCCCCCAGGCATTTTCTCAGGTTTCCGTGACAAATTGCCACTGCCCACTCATACTCCTGGGTGAAGAGAGAGAGAGGCACTGCGAATGTAAGTTAACTTTCAGAACTTGCCATCTCTCCAATCAATCAAGGCTCAAAATGCAAACTCCTCAAGGATTTGTCAGACTCATGTGTTCCGTCAGACAGTTCTTTACTTACATTCTGATACGTGTTTGCCATCATGGCGATCAACATGTTCATGAGTAAAACCGTGACGAACAACATGAAGTAGAAAAATAAAAGCTTGGCCAGTGCGGGATGCCGGGACTTCTCGAACGTGAAGAACTGGGGAGAGACAAAAGATCAGAAGTCTGTAATTATGGACACATAACAACCTTTTTGAAATTTTCTGCGACATCAGTCAAAGCTGAGGAACACTGGGTGTATGAGGGAACAAAAATGCACTTCCGCAAAACAACATTTTGTGAACTCACTAATTGCTTCGTAAAAATACTACCGGAACAAAAAAATATTATCAGGACATGACAAAACCGAAAAATTTCAATCGGCAAAAGAGAGATGTTTTTCTGAGAGTGACTATGGAGTACTTTGAAATGACAAATTATGAGTTTCGCTGAGAGGAGAACGTATGATCCAATCAAAACGTCGAATGTTCGACCACTGAGATATGGACACTTGTGCTAACTTCGATGTAAGCCATTAAATTGGATTCATGTTACGAGCTTTCTGCATTCTGTTAGGATTTCACCGCTAATGTGTTGCATTTGTGCAGTGGTGTGAAAGGGGATGGTTTACTCTATACGTAGTTATGAAAATGAATGATATTTATTAGGTAACGACGCATTGCAACTTACGTCAAACTCGCCAAATGTCATGCGCATTAGCGTCATGATGGTAAATCCTTCGTTCGTGAATCCGTTCACCCCTTTCATCACGTGTGAGAAGGCTTCGAAAAAAAAGAGAAGAGGGTCTTAAAAGAACTAGTCACCAGTTTTAATTAAAATGAAATGAAAACATGTATCGTTGAGAGTTATCCAAATACGGTCTTTATTACAAAATGTACTCCTTCTTAACTGATACTGGTTTTAAACATTTATAGAGATAAATTTCCACCACGTTAACCGACACTTTTGGTATATACCACACAGAAACAAAAATTAGTTTATTGCTGTCGATGTATCGAAAAATGTTCGCAAATTATCATTCTCTTGAAGCGCAATTTGAAGGCAAAGCATTTTTTCCATTTTTGACGCTTTTTCATAGAAGCCATGACCATAGTCATCTTCTATGTGACTACGCGTCGTATATCGCTGACGAAGTTGTTTTACCTTGTGCAAGCCCCACCACGTAGATAATATAAATGATGAAGAACCTGGTCATATCTCCAGCGCACATCCTGTATATCATGTCTACAAAAGGACCGATTGCTCCAAACCCCCTGCAAATTAAGTGACAGACAGGAGTGTTTTCTGGAACATTGCCATAAATGTTGCATTCACTTTAAGTTATGAACCATTAACAGACGGTGCCCTCCTAACCTTAAAAGTCTTTTATGAAAGATGGGTGCACACCCCCCTCCCCAACGGAATTCTTCTCCATCACAAATAGAGCGCTTTTCGACTGATTGTCGTAAAACCAAAACCAAGGTAAAAACAACGGCCAATCAGAAAAAAGAAAAATATATTTAAAAGCCAATAAGAACACGCAGTAAAAACAGGCAAGCTTGGCCCGCTAAAGTGCGAGAAAACGCAGGCGATCAAGTCGTCATTGGTTTTAGTTCTGCATCTGACTGGTGGAGAGAGTGGCGAGAGTTTCTGACCCAATCACAGAACGAGGTAAGCAAAACCAATGCAATCTCAAATCCCCTTCAACATCCAATTGGAAATTGCTCTGAATTGTGTACTTAGTAATTTTTACCCATCATGCAAAGCTAATTGTGACTCACCTGCAGAAAAACAGCAGGTAGCACCAGGCCATAGGAGCAGCAAGAATTAACATGGTAGTCTCGGCCTGGTGTTCTCCGAGGTAACGGCATGGTAACGCAAGGATAACAAGAACACAGGATACTAAAAAGATCGCTTTGCCTGGTGCGTCACGCTGCAGAAGATGTTTGCATGACATTAAATAAGGAACCTCTGTTGCAAAGAATTTCTTCACCAAGTTCTTAATATATCAGTCTCATTTGATTATGAAGATAGCCATTTCGCGATAGTGAATGAAGAATGTTGGACCACTACGGTGTCTTTTGCACTTTAAATGCTATGTTTAAACAATTTTTGAGGGAAATGATTGGCGGATTGGTGGATCATATGTCTAGTTTGTTCTGATTGGATCAGCCACTATGGAATATGAATCATTATAGTCTGGCTAAAGCGAACGAAGAGAAAAAAGCGTCAGTTTTCGTAAGGATGTTGAAGAATCTTTTCTTTTGTATCCTAAAATGTGCATTTTTATTAACTTTCATATCATGGGGTACCTTGAGAACTTTTGGTACAAAGCCTCGTACCAATCCACCAATCATTTAGAGAAAATTTTCAACTGATTGTCGGAAGAAATCTGGAATTGCTTTGCTGTTTTTCAAATTTGCTCTGTGATTTGTCCAGAAAATTCGCGCCATCTTCTCAACCAATCAGTTGCAAAACTAAAAACGATCGCGATTTAGTCATGTGCGTTTTCCCGCCCTTCCAGCAGTTTGCCTGTTTTCACTTTGAGCTCTCATTGGCTAATTATAGAGTGAACCTCTCTTCTGATTGGTCTCTGGGACGACTTTGTTTTGGGTGTTCTGACACTCAATTGAAAACTGCTCTATCATACATGGATTAATAATTTATAGATGAATAATATTTTCAATTAGATCAGCGAGACTATCATTAGTATTTTCATACCAAAGTTTTCATCTGTGCTTGAACTCCTTGAGTTATCAACACATCCTTGATTTCCAGCACCAAGTAGATAAACGCACCAAGAACTGTGAAGCCTTCAGCAACAACGCGAAACTAAGAATGCGAGGATAAAAAGTGCTTAATTAACCGGAAAATCTGCATCAATGTTTACTAGCCTGTTTTCAAGGCTCTCCGTTTTTAAACAGAGGAAGTTGGGCAAAAAGGCGGAAAAGAAAAAAATATTATGGATTCTATTTCACAACAGTACGTTTTGCCAATTCCCATGAGGAAACTTACTCTATCAGTACCAGTCTCTACTCTCTTGGGATCAAGATGTCGTGGACGAAGATAAATGGCCAAACTGAAAGCCACAAGGTAAAGCACCGCGAATAACAGTCGCCTGTAGAACTTGCCCTGCGATGAAAACGGAAATCATCAGAGTTCATTATTTGCTAAAGACAGTTGAAGGGGCTCTTGTATTACTCTGTGTTCAAGTTTTCTCTTCTCTCACATCATTTCCCAATTCAAGAAGCCTGTGTAAAATTAACGAAATTTTTTGTCTGTATGAGCGAAGGTCCCCTCGATTGAATTCAGCGTTCTTACCTTCGCAAAAGCTTTCCATTTTTCTTCCAAAAGGCGATATATGATACCGCTGTTCAGCATGTCCAAATGATCGTCCTTCTTTCCATTTAGTGTAATAAGTAATGCTGAGTCATCACCTAAAAAAGACACATCGAATAGAACAGAACATGCTCAACTCATTCTGTCTGTGCTAATACTATTAAGAAGAGGGGAGAGAGGAGAACAGAGAGAGGAGAACAGTGCGTTTCCCCATGTGACGTCTTGCGGTGACGTCAAGACTCACAGTAGGTATCAGGCTCGGCCGAGGCGACAGAGCTCGAGGATTAGGTTAAATTTGAAGGCAAGACGGGAATAAAAGCCGAATCATGATGGAGAGAACACAATGTAAGTAAGCCCTAATATCGTTGCATCAATTTTCGATTGAAAGTGTTTAGTAATCCTGCTTCGCTTCTAGTTTGCTTCACTGCGTTTTGTGATTGGTCCAGGAACTAGGAAACCCGCACCACTTTCTTAACCAATCAGATTCAAAACTGAAACCAAACACGACTCAGTCCCTTGCGAGCGTTACACCTTCGTCATTCGCTCTGACGAAGGGCTATCGCTCGAAACGTCAGCTTTTAAACTCTTTACGGTGGCCAATTTACGTTATCAACTCAGTTGACAATACTAAATTACCCTGTTATACTCTTCCACCGACGCAGCATCACATTTTCTTTAGAAACTTACCCCCTCTACTCACAAGTTTTATCTGACTTACCAGATTTACCATTCTTGTCAATGGAATCCAAACCCTCCAGCGGATATCCCGAACATGTCATGCGTCCATACGTCCAGTATTCCTTTCATAAATTAATTCATACGAGAGTTAAGATCGATTAAAAGCTGCAAACTATTATAATGATAATCCTGTAACACTAACTTAGTCCAGTTGTTAGTAAAAATTTAGCGTAGAATTCTTAAAGTTTAGCCCTCTAACGCCTAAGAATAACTACCATCCAATTTCTTCACCCCTGAGTCAAACATAAGGGTTACGAGAATAAAAGAAATGATCATCAACTTAAGAAACTTTTGACTGTTAAACAAATTCTCCTGATCAGCACCTTTGGAAATTTATAGAGAACAGAGTAGAGAATCTGCAAATTGATTTTGGGGTGTAAAGGACTAAATTTCACCAGTTTTAAAGCCAGGATAACTTACTATGCTTCGATGCTCGAGAATTACATAAAATATTTCCTTTCGTCCCAATTTAGCAGCAAGTGTCAGGGGGGAAAGTCCTTGGCCATTTTTTATGAACGTATTGCCGGGGATCACGTGCTTCCTTCGCGTAGCGTGAAGAAACATGTCCTATAAAAGAAATGTAAGTTTACTATATCACTTGGTACAATTAATGACAACGCGTCCGAAGCCTCACCGATAAAAACTTAATCTAACCTTACAGATCTAACTTGAGGAATAGAACGGCGGCTTAAAAACAGCGGTTTTGTTTCATTTTCTGATCCTTCATTGTTTAAATTTTAAAACTTTTTATCTGTCCGTCTTGAATGTTACAACTATAGATATATAGACTGTGCTGCGAGATTTTCATTCATTCACATAGCGTAGTTAGAACGAACCAGCTGAAAATCTGAGATTGATTTAATCAATAAAATAACAAAATTTTCTTCTTCGGTAACATTTGTTCCGTGTAGAAATATGAAGAACGTCTGCCCCTGGGTCCAGTCGCTCAAAGGCGGATAACGCTATCTATATTTATAACCAGTAAATCGCTATCCAGCGGATAAGTGTTAACAAAAAGTGCCACGCTATCCGCCGGATACAGAATTATCCAGCTGCAAATAGCTTTAACCACCCACTGATGAACCAGATCCTAGCGGTGAAAAAACTAAATTATAAACTAACTTACAATTTTGTTGTGTATGACGCACAAGTGTAGCACTGTGTTGCCAAAGGTGTCTTGCTTGTTGGGATCTGCGCCATTCCTTATAAGGTAATCGTACATGTCCTCTCTCTCGAAACATGCGGCAAAGGCTGCTGGGTACTCGCCGTAGTAAGCATAACCTGTAGGTTGAAAACATTTTTGAACGTTTGAGAAGTGAAAAGGGAGGCGTTGACAGCAAGTTTCGTAAGAGACCGTAACTAGCCACTCTTAAGCGCACTTTTTAGAACGATTGATACACCTGCGTTATAGAAGCCCATACCAGTCTTCTGTGCAACTGAGACGATCAAAAAATTAATAGAACAAGCTATAAATCTCCAAGACTTCCGCTGTTGTTTGCTCGCCAAATTGTTCATACCATTTTCAGATAAATGTGGCCCCAAAAACCTGACCGTTTGAGACGGTCTGTACGTCTATAGCTTTATTAAGGGGAACTTTCTTCCTCGAGGGGAGGGTGGGGAGTTCTTTTCACTCACCATCATAATCTGTCTCTGTTTTCATTTTATCCTTGCAATCTTCTGGCATGAAAAATCTCCCTCGTGCGCGTGCGTGAACATCAGCACTGCATTTCTCAATCAGAAGCTTTAGTGACTCCAGATCTCCATTTACTATCGCGATGTGAACAGACGTTTCACCTAAAATAAGAAAGCAAAATATTTTTATCAATGCCTCCTTCCTCTTAATTTTCCTATGAAAACTCTGGTGAAAAAAATTGGCAATGGAAGGGCTGGGCTGATGGCAAAGGGTTTATGGACATTTTGTCCCATAGTAATTCCACCCGTTACCACCTTCGCGAGTTCGCCCCCTGAAATAAAACAAGTTCGCCTTCAACTTTTCCAGCTCGCCCCCAAATTTTAATCTAGGTCCTTATGGCAGATAATGTTCCTTTCTCGATGGGGCGAACCAAGTAAACCTCTAGATACCTTGAAAAAGTATGTAATTAAAAGCCAGGCTTTGAATATGTCATAATCCTGATCGCACGCTTTATGTAAGTTGGTTGGGTTAAGTGTCCTACCAAGAACTTTTTCAATGAACTGCTTGGAACTTTCGCCGAGTTTCTTTAGCGTACTTTTACGCCATTTCAATTCTCTGTTCTGTTTAGAGTCCCTTAAAAAGGCTCCTTATTACAGAATAGCCCCTGAGCTGAGAGAAAAATGATCGAATAGAACTTCTTTCCTTACCACGGTATTCATGGCCTTCGTATTGGTCCAGTGCCATTGCAGGATACAATTCCAACAGAGCATGCGCCATCTCTGTCATAGTCTTATTGTTCGTAAGGAAGCACAGGTGCAGCGCTGTTTCCCCCAGTGTCCCACGGTGTGCCAGAGACCAGCAAGCTTTACGAGGTGCGTGAAGTGAATCATCGCGACTTTCGGTTGTCCTGTGTCTTTCGGGCTGAGAAGTAGTAAACATAGTTGAGATCAATGTTAGTGAAAGTCTGATATTAGCAACCTTCACCTTAAAAAGGATAGAGCGCAAGAACGAAGAAACAAAAGAACCGAAAAGAAACGCCAGGAAAAGCATAGTCAACAGATACATCATTCGAAATAAGCGCGATACAGGCCAGAAGCTAACAGGATGTAGAGTACCACAGACTGGCCACAGCAATCTTGGGTAAGATACTTTGAAAGATGGAATATAGCAGCGTGCTTTACAGACAGTGAAAGACAGAGACCCCAGCCAGTCGTCTAACTCTTCATTGTTTAATTAGGAGACAAAAACATGAACGGTCACAATTTATGAAGAATCGCGAGCTGTTTCATAACTATACCTCTGAGTTCTGCCATTCCTTGAGTTCTTCAGCAGTAAGTACTTTTCCTTCTCCTTGTTCATATAAGTAAGGTAATAGAATTTTTTCATCCTGAAGCTTTTTCACAAACCCTAACTTGCCGCTTTCCTTCCAGAGTTTTACAAATTCGGTGCTGCCCCCTAGGCCTTTGAGGTCCACAAACGTGTAAAGTTTGTTTTCAAGTTTTCCTCGTGTTTGGGCCTTCCATGCCTCATCTTGGTCCTCCCTCAGGAGGGACCTTGTTCCAAGCGCCTTTTGAGCGCAGTTGCCCATGACCCCTCTAAATTAGGACCTCTACCTATGAGATAAAATAATTGGCTGTTAGTGGTCGAGAAATCAGCGTACACCTTCTTTCGTGACAATGAAAGACAACGTAGTAATCACGTATTTTTTTTAGCTCTAGGCCCGCTTTCCGCCGTTTTCTTGAGACCGCTCCTCGATCCTTCTGAGAAGGAAGTGCTGTGACTTCAAGGGAAGTGAGAGGCGGTGAGCGCAAGCTCTTTTCCCGAACGGCGGAAGGTAATCGAGAAACCTTACCCAAAGGTTACGAATAAAGAGCATGATTTGTGGGAAATATCGGAGTCCCTTCTCGTTTGATAAACATATCAGTTTCATTATAAAAACCGCGACCAAAACCAGTTGTTTACCCAACGCCCTCAGAAAGGTTCCGCGCACAAAAAATATAATTAAGTCTGCTTTTGCTTCATCATGTTTCATGGGGCTTTTTCAGACACTTCTCCTTCACCAGCGCTCAATGTGTTCCAAGGGGCTTAATAAGGACGAGACTGAATACGTGCATGCATATGGCGTGAAATTGATCTGTCATGCTTCTGTGCGAAAATCTTCCATTGTTTTGTTGAACTTTGGAGAAGTATGAATTTGAAAGGCTTTTAAGGTGTTTAACAGCGGCCAGTCTCCCATTAAATAGCAGCCCTATTTCCGATTGTTTCGGATATGAAAATAATTTCCGATTTGTTTACTTGTCACAGGTTCTCATTTTGAGTTCTTGGTTGCTTAGCAACTATTGAACCATGTGACTTACAATCTTCAACAAAGAACAGGAAGTCTGAGAGTATTAGCGAAATGTTAGACTCCATTTACTTTGGATTAGAGCGTTCATTTGTTGGATCTACGTAAATAAATGAATGTAATTTTGTTAATCTGTGGTTCTGTTTGCTTTTGCATTAGTTGTAACAATTCGCTGGTGTATGCGTATGTCAAGATTTAAGCCATCTGTCTTTTAAACCCGATCTCCGTGTAACGCAATCAAACACATTCGTTCGATTATCAGATTGCGCAAAGCACGAATTTTCGGTCGTTCAGCAATAAATATCATCGAGGCAACGAGTCGCTATTGACAGAATCGGAGTAAACCTCAATTGAGACTTGAATTGAAAACTCAGATCTTTCAGGTCTTCGTTATAGCTGTTAATAGATGGCCTGAAATGCAAATTGTAGACTATCTTAACTTGTTGGTTGTGCTGTAAAAACTTGGCCTGCAGAGAGACAGAATCATTGCGTATTCAGAGTCCTATATGTCCAGCGATGGAGGAAATAAAGCTGTTGAGAACTGGACACTGATGTTAACCTTCAAAACAGGAATTATTTCTTTCGAGAAAGCAATTGAAACTGTAAATAAATTGAGTCTACCGGTTTATCCCTGAATCTGTATTCGTAGAAACCCTGACTTGAGGAGGGACGACTTCAAAGTTCTATACCAGTAATGGACAATATATGAAAAATCTGCCAGTAAATTAACTTAATCATCGAGTGTACAATCAATATAAATCAATACTTACGGTCTTAGCTATCGACCAGGTTTCCTTTCTGTTGTCAGAGACCACTCAAATGAAAGTAAATGAATTTTCCTCATTTTCTCACGCTTTAGGACTTTTAAGCCACGCTCAGTTCGATAAATTCTTAGCATGCTGATCCTGTTTGATAGGCCATGTTGGCGGCCAAAAATATGCAAAATTTTGTGGATGTCTTATGAATAAGTAATAGCTTGCGTTACATTTGCATTTTCTTTGTGTGAACGGAGAGCATTTACGTCAGAGTCACAGCTTCCTTCTGAACATAATCGGGGTCAAACAAAGCGAAACCTTTCAATTAGGAAAGAGAAAGTGTCCCAGGTCGTCGTTGATTGACTACAGATAATGGGTTTGGAGGAAACTAGCATGACATTTCCAGATCTAGCTGAACCTCCCAGAGTGAAAATCGCTCTCTAGGTTTAAGGGTTCACTGACCTCATGTGAGCACATAGCCTCTTGAAAACATTTGTGATGGAGGAATTGTAACAAAAGTTCTGTTACTGTTTTAATAACCGTCAACAACAGCAATAACAACAGGAAACAAACAAACAAACAACAACAACACGATCCAAAAACAACGACAAAAAATTATTTTTTCTTTTCTGAGATGCTAAAGAATCACATCCCGGTCACATCTCACGCTTTTGTTGGTTTTCATTTTGAAATGAATTTTGTGCACTTACAGACGCATTTTTCGTTATTTGCACGAGTTACTCTTTAAACATTGATTGAGGAGCACCATCGGCGTTGCAGGGGAAGGACAGAGGAAACCCAATTGTCCAAAAAAAGTGGCATTATGGAAGATTCTCCCTATGGAGAGAAGAGGGGAGGGAAGATGGAAGGGGATGCAGGTCCCCCTTTAAACCCTGCTAGCGACGACTGACCTCCTTCTGTTCTCTTTGAAAAACCATGCATGTGACCACCCACCCCCCCCACCCCCCCCAAAAAAAATCCTCTGACCCCTCAGACGATTAGCAATGACTGCTCCTTGATCTTTTTCAAGCGCACTCTACCACTCTTGCCGTATGACGGTAATTATCATTATGAGGTGCTAGCCGTTAAATTACTGAGTGAGAGTGACTCGAAAGGGAAATTTGACCTCATGCTTTAATAGATTCCAGTCTTCCTCGTTCCTATTTCAAGATGGCGGCTGAGGACGTTAATAATATGATAACATGTTTTCCACTGATCAGGCCTATCACTTTGTAAAGTATCATCATGTAAGACTTCTTTAAAGCAAGGACTTCTCTACTATTCAGTATGATCCGTTCCTGTTCAAAACTCGTGGAAATCAGCTGATTATCAGCAGAAACTCTAGACCTACGGATGCAGAATTCCTCATCCAGTTGTAACCGCGAGCACTCTCAGATGGCATTTGAACTGTTCGAGTTAATTTGTTTGCTGAGGGTTCGTCCACGTGTTTCTCAGCAGCTCTCCAAAGGTAAACGTCCTTGTCTTCTGCACGGTATGAAACAGCTGTTTTTATAGAAAGTTATCAAGGGTTGGATGTACCATCGTTAAAAAAATTATTGACAATAAATGATGTTGGAAACCATCATAATGTAAAATTGATTTTGGTTTGAGTCGGTGGATAGTTTAGGTCATCAAAGTTTTGTGTTACCAAAGTTATTAACAATAAATTCATGATAGAGTTTCCAAGGGAAGTTAATCGATGATGGTTTGTGGAAAGTTTGAGTCAAGAAGGGTACGAGTTATGTGGTAGAAGTTGTTATCTTGATCTAACACCACATTCTCACAACTAATTTACCTGGAAATCTGTAGCAGTTAGAGGGGAGAATTAACAATCAGATCTTGGGAGGTAAAGGAGTAAATGATATCTCACTCGTCTTTAATATGCAAACCAACTGACTCCATTATGTCTCCTATTACTTGTAGATGACATCAAACGATTGCCCTCTATTCAACAAGCTGCTTTTCATGAAGATAACAAACGCAATTTGATGGTGTTACTCTGCAGTAATGGTAAGTTTAACCCTTTACACCCTAACATCATTATGCATATTCTCCATACTGTTCTTGATACATTTCTTAAGGTGTTGACAAGGAGAATCTGTTAAAACAATCAAGAGCTCTTTTTCTTTAATTGTTGATCATTTCTTTTATTCTTGTGACTTCAATGAGTGATTCTGGGGTGATATTGTAAGGAGAAATTAGATGCTAGTCATGCTTCATAGGAAAAGGGTTAAGAAGAGAATATAAACCTTGTAGAACTACCAAGTGTTTTATTGTGCTGCTTGAAAAACCTTGTATTTGTTTTTTTAAATGTGTATGTGTAGGATCTTTATTACTGCGTGCTGAGGAGAAAGGTGCTGCTGCAGTCGTAAAGCAAGTTTCTTGGTACCAGGTAAACATTTTTTTTAAATTTTTTTGTCTTTGTATTTTTTTTTTTTTTTTGTAACAAACTAAACTGTTATTGCAGAGGGTTCAAATCCTGTATGAGCCTGAATTATTTTTTAATAATAATTAAATAACTACTAGTCATTTAATAAGTAGTGTTCATAACTTCGAGGATTGCTTCCATATTTGTTTCTTCAAATTTGAGCTACATTTTATTTTTTCATAATGATACATGCCAGTCTTACAGTTTCAACAGAAAAATCCAAAATTTATGTTATGGTCTAATGTTGCTGAAGAAACTGCTGCAAACAAAAATTTTCATTTCACAAAATAATATGACGATGCTATTAAAAAAGGAAGGCTTAGGTGTGCATGGTATTGATAAGTATTTTGAAGTATTGTTAATCAATCAAATGATAATTAAACATAGTGTTTTGGACACGGATTTGTACATTAAATGCCAAGGAGTTAGGGTACATGAATATTGTTGTTGTTTGATATTCTTACAAGTGCTTTACACTGTAAATCACAATATGAATTATAGTTTGTTAATTAACACTGATTTAAAATTTATACAACTGTGTTCCTGATTAAATCTCAACAGAACCCTGCTAAAGCCATCAGAATAATAACCCTTGACCCATCAGGTTCATGGTTGGTCTGTGCATGTGTAGATGGCTCCCTGTATATTTTACCAGTAGCTGGAATCGTACAGGTAAGATGAACAGTGTACGAGTCAGGTGTTCAGGCTCCTTTTCACAGAAGATGTATGGTTGTAGCCAGAAGCTTTGATTGTTATAAAATTCTCCTTGTCAGTACCAAATGAAATGTATGGAGAGGAGTAAAGAGAATGTAAATATTAATGTTATGGTGTAAAGGAATTCAGAAAATATTTTTTTCTGGTCATTGACTAATCAATTTGCAATTAAGTTTTAACTGTTTTACGGGGATTTTTTTTCATAAAGTCAAATTTGTTAGAGTTGTATTGATTTTTTCTTCCTTTACTGTTATAGAGTAATTCTGAGCTGTCTTGTCGTTATTGGCCAACAGATGATATTACACTCATTTACAAAAGTGACAGACGAGGTACAAGGATTTCAATATGAAATGATCAAAAATATATTCTCTAACTATTATTACTCAGTTGTTTGGGCAAATGAAATGCACTGTTAACCCTTTAACTCCCATGAGTGACCAAGACAGAATTTCTCCTTACAATATCAATACAATATCAACCAGATAGGTAATGAGAATAAAGAAAAATATCAACTTGGGGATAATTAGTTGATCCAGAGCTAAATTCTCTGAACTAACATTATAAGAATTGTGCAGTCGATGGTAAGGAGAATTACAAATTTGACCTGTTAAAATACTGGTAAAAGAGTGCATCAGGTCAGCACTTCATCAACCTTTTTAATGCACATTCTCAGCTGAGTTTTGTAAAGTAATGGAAACTATTATTTAAAGGGAATATAGAAATCTGGAATCTAGAAACCTCACCAGTTCCCTCCTATGTCTCCTACACAATTTCAGGTAACTCTTAACATTTTTTGTGGGTTTTCTTGAATGAGGAAATTAAAGCACTGAATAAGGAAGGACACAAGCCATCTTTGAACTCAGAACACTTGATATTTTTTTTTTTTGTTTCTGTTTTTGCAAACATGGCCTTTTTATGCTGTTGATCAGCAAATCATAGTAAATCATAGTTTCTAAAGAAACCATGGTGCTGCATTGGTGGGAGAGTATAAAAGGGTAATTTAGTATTATCAACTGTGTTGATAACATAAAATGGCCACTGTATGGAGTTTCAAAGCTGACGTTTTTTGAGCTTTAGCCTTTTGTCAGAGTGAATGGCAAAGGGCTCGAAACATCAGCTTTGAAACTCCATACAGTGGCCAATCTACATTATCAGCAGTGTTAGCAATACTTGATAATTTACTTAATTACTATGTTTTTATGTAGGGTCTCCATCTGATTTAGTTTGGTGGCAGACAGTAGATGATTTGCACATTGCTGTCATAGGAACTGAGGTTTGTTTGTCTCAACAAGCACGTACCTTTTACCAGGTTTGTACAGGCCCTGGAAAACCTGGAATTTTATTTTGACATTTTCCAGGACTGAATAGTCCTGGGGAAAAAACTACAGGCCCTTGAAAATCCAGGAAATCTGCGTAATTAAGTCAAGCAACGATAAAAGTTTTCAGAATTTACGTCATAAGAAATGTAATTTTTGTAGATGGTAATGAGCATTGATTTTGAAATCCTGGGAAGGAAAGAGTTAAAAGTGAAATTTGGCATCCAGGAAAAATCAGCCTGAGTCTTGGTAAAGTCTTGGAAAGGTCCTTGAAATTTTTTTTGAAAAAGGGTACAAACCCTGTTTTACCTTTCCTAATCTCTCTTTGGCCCCCTTTATTCCCTACTTTGACAGAAGTCAAACTTGGAAGCCTAACACACTGTTCTTATTTCAATATACTAACCTTAGTTAGCTTTGTAACAGAGATGTCTGCTTTGCAAGTAGCTAATGACCAGTCCCTTTTTTTTTTTTTTTTCTAGCTTGGTGAAATACTGTTTGTGGATCTCAGGTCAAAAATGATGTTAGCTACAGTTGAATTTAAGGAGGGTATCCAGTCCTTTGAGTTGATGCAAGATAAACAACATGAAACAACTTCACTACTGGTAAAGAACAAATCAATATAGAACATACCTCTTACTAACCAAGTTTTAGATCCCTATCATAAGTTTTGGAGCAAGTTTTTTCTTGTCCAATTTAAATGTAAATCCTAGCTGAAAAATCAAGGTTTGATAACTCAGTATGTACCAAGAAAATGGGGTTATCATAACATATTTAGTATTTCTCTGGTTTTAACCCTTTAATTCCCAAGATCTGATTGTTAATTCTCCCCTCTAGCTGCTACACATTTCCTTGTAAATAATTTATGAGAATTTGGTGTCAGATCAAGATAACAACTTTGATCTGATAAGTTTTAATATTCTCATGACTTGTTTACTGGATAATCTTAATTAACTATAGGGGGAAGTTACTTGTTAATCACTTCTGGGAGTTGAAGAGTTGATTATCTAGAGGGGGAAGATTTCAATTCAAACAAACTTTTGAATTTAGTAGGGTGTACAATGAATTGTGGCCCTCTAATTTGACCATCATAGCCCATGTACTGTATGTAACTGAGAGAAATAGTAACAAATCAATTCCAAACTTAAGTTTGAGTAGTTTTGTGTTATGAAGTGGTAGGTAGCTATCTTAATATAATGATCGAAGTAGTCTGCTGTTATAAAAAAACCTTTTATCCCAAGATCTTATTTAATTCTCCTTACTGTCTGCAATAAAATTCTTTAATGTTGTGATGCATATGAGTTTCTGACCCCATAAGGGGATGTGCTGTTGGGGAAAAAAATTCCAGCTCTATAACAACATATTCATGCTTTCAGATCAACACCATGTCTGGTGGCACAGTCCAGATGCAGCTTGAGTACAAGTCCATGAGGAAAACAGGCTTAGAACAGTTAAAGAGCCCTTCATCTGTTGCCACAGCTATGGGGTATGAGACACTCAACAGGTTGACCATACCCATGGAGAGTGTGTTCAGTGGAACAGGTGATCTGCAGGATAAGATAAAACCTATGCCAACCACTGTAAGTAGTATTTAAATGATTATTAATAATGATATTCTTATTGTAGTCTTTTGAGGGTGAATCTGTGAGCTCATGTTGTAGAGCACTGGACTGGGAGCACTGGACTGGGAGCACTGGACTGGGAGCACTGGACTGGGAGCACTGGACTGGGAGCACTGGGAGGTTGATGGGTTAAGCCCCAGACAAGGCTAATACTCAGGGTCTAAAAATAACTGAGGAGAATATGCTCCCTTTGCTATGACATCTGCTAATGAGCTTCTCAGATACTAAAAGTGGTTGGGCACTTCTGCCAACTGGGTTACAAAGCCACATTGGTTTCAGGAAAATTCTTTAGGCTTTGACAGGATTCTGGACTTTTCCTCATCATTTTAAATTCATAATATCATAGTTTTAGAATTAAGAACAAAAAAGTTTTACTTTTTGATTTCACAGACCTCTACTGGTATCATTCAGTTCTCAGTGCAGTATGCTAGAAATCAAGTGTTTATTGGCGCCCAGAACAGAAAGAATGACATTCTGGAGGTAAATGCTCCTCTTCACAGTGGCCAATTAACATTATATTCACTCTGATGAAAGGCTAATGCTTGAAGCATCAGGTTATAAACTCTTTACAGTGACCAATTTACATTAATTTATCAGGTCAGTTAATAAAACCAAATTATCCTAGGCTGTTATATGCTCCATCACCAACACAGTACCACAGTTCTTTAGAAACTTACCCCCTTAGGAGTCAAAAGGTTGAACACTTTGGGAATCCTGCTCCAGCAATTTAAGGGGAAGCAAGTGGCTGTAAATTAGCTTCCTATTCTAGGCAAGGTGGAAACGATTAGTCATCTTGATCAGTCTGCAGAAACTGGGATTAGTTCTGGTTGTGAAAATCAGGAGACTCATGCAGATGTTGATGAATAATTTATTTACCAGTTGTAATGAATACATGATGATTTTTGTTTTTACACAGGTGTACGATATTGATGTAGAGAACCTACCAATGTTTGTGTATCAACTTCCTCCGGGAACATCCAATGTTTTATTAACTGACAGGGTTATATTTACCATTACTCACCAAGAACAGTCAGAAGAGGTAATTAAGTTGCATATTGAATGATAGTGCATTCATTTCAACTGGCTTATCAGCCTGCTGAAAGAGTGAATATGGATAAAAACTCAATTATCTGATCATAATATTGCACTTTAGGCACTGGTGTCAAAGATAGGACACTTAGCATCTTTAATCAGATGCAAGTGTCTGAAATTTCATTTAGACCCTTGGGTCTAAAATTGGATACTAGTGTCTGAAATTGCATTTTAGACACCATTGTCTAAAATTGGACACTACCCTGTAGTGTACAAATTTGGATTGTTGTGTCTTAACCCTTTAACTCCCAGAAGTGATGAACATGTAACTTCTCCCTATAATATGCATTTATTATCCAACAAACAGGTGATGAGAATACTCAAATTTATCAGGTAGAATTTGTTACCGATATCTAATACCAAATTCTCCTAACTAACTCATAAGGAAAAGTGTAACAGCAATAGGGGAGAATTACCAATCAGATCCTGGGAGTTAAAGGGTTAAATCAGAAACTTAGTGTCTTAAATTGAACACTTAAGTGTCTATAATCTGATGTCACTGTCTAAAATTGGACATAAGTGTCTGAAATCAGCAACTGTGTTTAAAATCAGACACTAGTATCCGAAATTGGACACTACTGTCTAAAATCAGCAATGAGTGTCCACAACTAGTAGAGTTTGTTCCTCTTTAAATGGAAATTGGTGAAACTTTCTTCTTATTATTTCTTACCTCTTAGTACCTCCTAACATGGCTTGGACTTCTTTCAATTTCCTTAGGTTAGAGGACTATTCTTTGAAAATGTCTTCAGTCTACTTGTAGTGCTTAAAGAAGGGAAACTCTGACCATGTAAACTAATCAGTAAATGGCGTCTATTTCAGTGGTATGTTTTCCATTCAACCAGTAACTCTAAAGACTATTTGTTATATGAAATTTATTGTTAGGTTTGTTTGTTTGTTTGTAGACTTTGTTGAGCATCCAGTCTAGTCAGCTTGCAGAAACTTCTCTATCAGTACCAAAAACTCATCAGGTACAGTAACGTCAGACATTTGATAGATCCATGCTTGATCAGCTCTATAAATTGGTTATTTGATTACATTTAATTTAAGTATCATACATTTTGAGAATGACATGATTTAAAATTATATTGTACAAATAACTATTGCCTGAACTTGTATGTTTTGATATAATCAATCTTTTAAGTCATTCAGTGCTTGGATGTCAGTATGTAATTAAAGCTTAACTCTCGTCCCTTGACAACTTAAAATATAATTTACACAGAATCATTGAAATACTGTTGGATTCAGCATGAATCACTCAGGGAGACTTTTTTCTGCATTGGAATTCAAGTTTTGATCATTTTACACCATTGTTCCAAACTTTCGTATTAATAATTACTAATAAAATTTGTTAAAAGGTGTTTCTGAAAAGCAGCAAGAACAGTTTGTTGTTCAACATTGTGGGTTTTTAGTTAGAAATACCTGATTGTATTTTTGCAACTTAACCCTTTTATACCCTAGCATCAGTATACACATTCTCCATACTGTACTGGCAAGGAGAATTTGTTTTACAATCAAGAGCTTCTTTGGTTTGTAATCATTTCCTTTATTCTCCCAACCTTAATGTGTGTTCAGGGGTGATATTGTAAGGAGAAATTAGATGCTAGTCACTCTGAGGGGTCAAATTATAAGCGATCCAAGAGACTGTAATTTTCAAAATCCCTTTGCAGAAGACAGAGTCAAGCATCATCCAGACCTTTGTGTTACCACCTGGTGAAAAAATGGTTGCCATGTTTCAACACCCAGAGTTGGTGGAGAGTGTTATTGTCGTTGATGATCTTGATCATTCACATGCAACAAGCAGTTCTTCTGGGATGTCACACACTGTGGATGGCGTGACCCTGGTCACGACATCTGGTGTTTTTAAATGCAGGCCAAAGATGTCACCTGAGAAATTGTTTCTAGAGCTAGCTGTCAACAGTGCTGACACATCAGCTGCCGATGTGCTTGCCATCACCACAGGCCTTGATGTGAATAAGTTGTATGAGGTGTGTGCATCACTATGTTCCTGTAATAGTGCTTTGGAATTATTTACAGATTGATTTTAAGCATCATCATCTTGTAGCTAGGGTGGGTTACTGTTACCAAGTTAGTGCAGTCACAGTCAGTGTCAATGTGGTTTCTCTTGTGGGACATGGGAAGCCCTTATGAGGTTTACAAGAGCATTAATTGTTGTGTACTTTTGCTGTATTTTACTTTGGTTCAGTTGTGCTAATGATCTCCTCTCTGCTAAGTAGGTTGTTAGGGTAATTTGGTATTATCAACTGAGTTGATAATGTAAATTGGCCACTGTAAAGAGTTTTAAAGCTGATGTTTCAAGCGTTAGCCCTTCATCAGAGTGAATGGAGGAATTGTGGGTTGCATGTGTATGTTTATATGCAGGAAATGGAGCTACGCTTTTAGTGTAAATATGGTGATGGGAAAACAAGAATAAATTAATTGAATGAAAACCACTCGTTGATACTGTGGGTATTAAGATCAGTGCCAAAAGAGATTGATACCTTCCTTTCACAACCTTTACAACACCTATCTCTCAATGCCATTGGCAAAGTGTTTTGATTGATTGTTGTGGAAAATGTCCACTGGAAATTCAGTAACAGTCTAATAATGCAGGCAATTATTTATCTTTCTTTCAGATGGCTGGTGATGAGGCATTGAAAAAAGAGAACTTTGAACATGCTTTAGAACTGTACCATTTATCCAAGGTAAGGGGGGAGAGGGGGTGTGACTGATCTCTAATGGGGTGGTTACCTACTCTACCCAGAAGGACAATAATATAATAATTTTTCACTGCTCTATATTATGAATAAGCAAAAATTCAAATTCAAATTGTAACATGAAAGTTTTTCTTGTCTGTTCAGTGCTCATTTGAGAGACGTGTTGCTCAATTTGCAAAACATGGCAGGGTTGCAGATATCCTCGCTCATCTCAGACAGGTAAAAATGCTTTAATTTGTATTTTGATTTATGGGTAGAAATGATGAAGTGTTAATTAATTGAAAGTTGATTTGAGGTATTTCATCGCAAGTAGAAATGAATTTGTGTTAAAAAAAGATGTTTTAATTTTCATTCAAGGGAACACAGCAATAGAAAATGTTAGATGTTAAATGTTTGATGAAATATCATCAAAATTACAATGTAATCTTTGCTTTGCTTTTTTCAAGGCACTCAGTAAACACAGTGATGTTCACATTGCAGAGAGGAAACAGCTATCCAATCTTACACTCTTCTGCTTCATACAACAGGTTCTTGCCAAATTATGTATTTTGTTAAGTTTAGACCCTGGAGTTTTTAAGTATCAGCTGTGGTGAGCCTCATTTATTAATGAAACAGCAGACTTCAAACTATAACATTACCTTCCATTGACAGGTTTTGTATCATAGTGGAAATGCAGTTCAGCAACAGACACTCTCTGAAGCATTCAGGTGTGGCCACAGTCATATTTATTTAATAAATTACCTGTAATTGCTTAACTAATTTCCTTAACTAATGACTGCAATAAACAATACTCATCTGCTGATTAATGTATGCTCTTTTTTTTTAACATCATTATGTCTCCTTCAGCCAATTCCTGAATGATAATTTTGACTATGATGAGCTCACTGCCTTGGAACAGCTGTCAGCATATGGTCTCAAGAACTTCATGTTTGATGTAGCTAAGGTTAGTGAGAGAGGTGTAGGTAAACTGATCAAAAATTTGCACTTGCAAATGCTTTTTACATCCAATTCCCACCCCGCCTGTCCATTAATTTGGGATTTATGGCCACTTAACCCTTCACACCCTAACATCAGTATGCATATTCTCCATACTGTTCTCTATACAATTCCTTAGGTTCTGACAAAGAGAATTTGTTTATCAATCAAGAAATATTTAGTTAGTGATCATTACCTTTATTCTAATGACCTTACTGTGTGATACAGGGGTTAAACTGTTGGGAGAAATTAGATGCTGGTCACTCTCACCTAGCCTGTGTCTCTCTTTTTGTTTCTTAATTTGTCACAGCCAGTTACTTCAGTCTAGGCAGATACTTGAAGTGTTCTCTGGAGATTTTTTTAATAACATCCACTCAGCTATAAAAATACTCTAGTTGGCAAAGGTTAACAATTATTTTTAGCTCAAGGTCATGGGTATTGCACTGCTTTGTTGGATTAAAGTAGGCAGTATTTCAAAACCAAGAAACCAATGAAAATGCAAGTTGTGGTAGCTTCTGTAGAACACTGCACTTACTTCAAATCCTATTTAGAAACTTGAGGCTTTTGAAGCCTACGAAATGAGATCATGGAAAGTAACTTCAGACTGACTTTAAATAATTTGAACAGTTTGTCAGAGGTTTTGACTGTATTGCATGATGTTGCAAAATGCACTATTAATAATCTTAGTGGAAAGACTGAATTTAGACTCGGTTAGTTGTATTTTATTCACAGGCAAGAGGGCTCATGGCTAAAACTCTGGACATGCTTGCACAGAAAGGACAGTTTCATCTCTCATGTGAACTTCAGGGCAAGTTAGCATCTAGAGGGTTCACTGATATCATCAGCAGAAGTGCCAATGGTGAGAAAGATTTTATTGCAGTACTTGAATAGAAAGTTTGATCAATTTGCATTCAATTTGATAGGATGGTCTTGCATTGAGTGTTCTATTGAGTTGTGCCTGTTCAGAATTTTTTTAAGTAAAGAAAAAAATGCTTACTTTGGAAGATGCTTGAAAATTTTACTGAAAATGCTTTTAATTTGTGACTTATGAGGTTTATTATTTTAAGCTTCAGATGCTAGCCCAACAAAGAACAATGATGCATTCATTTAATTTGTTATTAACTTTATTTGATATTCACCTCCAACTTATAATTACTCTGTATGTATAATAGGTGCTTTCATACATTGCATGGACCCTAAGGATGCAGTATCATTTCTGTTGTCAAAGGTACTGTGAGGCAAAATTATTTCCTTCGTGTAATCTGCCAAGGTATTTTTATTTTAGTGGTCAGTACTGTTGTATCATAAACATAATGTGGAAGGTTTTTAAGTGGAGGGTAATCATTTTGCTTAATTATAATTTTTATTGAACTGATTTTTCTTAATATGTTCCTTTGTATAGCCTGAAACTATTTTAAGTCATCTGAAATTCATTCTATCTCATCTGACGTCGCTGAATGAAGAAAGCTTGGTGCATGTCGCTCGAGTTCTGGACCCATCTCGTCCCTCATTTAGATCCTTGGCAAGTAAAATGAGCCCTCCAAAGCAGAGGTAAGAATTTGTTATTGTTAACTCTTTAACTCCCAGGAGTGATTATCATGTAATTTCTCCCAATAATATCCCTTCCTTATCCAAAAAAGAGATAGTGAGAATTCTCAAACTTATCAGGTACAAGTTTTTTTCTTGATCTAACACCAAATTCTCATAACTAAGTTACAGAGAAATATATAGCAGCTAGAGGAGAGAATTAACAATCAGATCTTGGGAGTTAAAGGGTCAATAAAGACTGAGATTAGTCATGCATTTGGATATTAACTGTGTCAAAAAGTGATGACAACAGTTCTTGTTTATCCTGAAGTAAAACCAATAAATAGAAGGGTTTGAAGTTGTTTTCAAGGAACTTTAACAGATAAATAATTTATGACTACTGTACATATTGTGACTAACATCCATGAAAGTTGAATAAAAGACCTCTTGTTGCAGTGTTTAGATCACCCCTGATGAAGGCACTAGACAGGAGTGTCGAAACGTTGGGTCTATGAATTGTAACTTCTTTGGTTACATTCATTAAATCTGCAAACCAGTCAGTAGCATCAAACTATGTCAGGCTACATTTTACTTAAAGTTTGTTTATTTATACAATCAATAAGTTGAACACTATATCATGCATCAGTTGTAATGCACACTACCATGATAGCAATTGAGAAATACAGCTGAAGGGTGTAAGTGGTTCAAGATGTTGATGATCACTACTAATCCAAATTACAACAACTGAGTAATAAACAATAATTATCATGATTGTGATAGTTATTGATTAGAGTTCACATAAATAGGCTGATGTTTGACATTCATTTTGTTTCAGGACTATATCTGGAAGCTCGATCAGCTCAGTACTTTCTGTTGAAAGTACAGTCAGCTTTGGACAGGTCTGTCATAGTTAGTTTTTTTTAATACTGACAATAAATCATTTTAATTATTTAAATTACCCATACATATTCAACAGAAGATCATTGAAATCTCCAAAGGAAGGAACTTTTTTCATTGATTGTTGCAAAAGATGTAGGGATTTATTATGGATTAAGGAATGAGTGTGATGTAGAGGTGGTGGGGGGGGGGAGGGGGGATAAGCTGTTATGATAAATTTTTATGGAATATTTATGAACTAAACTGGAAAAAGATGACAAAGATTCAAAAGATCCATTGATCTTACCTTCTGCAAACTTCTAAATAAATGTTGAATTTTTCCTTTGTGATATATACAGGAGGATACTAAGCAACCTTCCCTGCAGGATCTGATTGAGCTGTTTTTATGTTGTCTTTTGGTTTTAAATCATCTCAGAGATGACAAGTTGGATGCTGATGCAAGGTGTGTATTCATTTTTATTTCAATAATTTTTTTTAAATTTAGGGTGATGTCAAAAGTAGAAGGCTACCAGCAAAAATGATTCATCTACTCTGGTCCATGTTTCAGTTTTTATCTCCATTTCTTTGAGAGAGATGGGCAGGTGTTTTTAATTTTTGATTGGTTAAGAGTCATCTTTTAACCACTAGGACCATGCCCCCAGATCTGTTCCCCCCCAGATCTGTTCCCCCCCAGATCTGTTCTCCCCCAGCTCCTTCTCTTAAATGCTTGTGCTTTTGCCATCCCTATATGTTAAAGGTACGTCAAATATGACTTTTTTTCAGGTAATGTAAGCCCAGTTTTTTAAAACTAAATTATTTTTTAATGTTGGCATCTTTGAAATGAGGGTTAAGGTTCTTGTCAGTACATGAATAATAGCTGCAAATCATATTGGGCTATTGTGAGTCATTGAATAAATAAGGGTAAGTTTCTTATTAAAAGAAACTGTGGTGCTGCATTGGTGGAAGAGTATAACAAGATAATGTACTATTATCAACTGAGTTGATTACGTGAATTGGCTAAAGAGTTTCAAAGCTGACATTCCGAGCATAACCCCTTCCTTAGAGCAGATGATTCAATTTGATGAAGGACCAATGCTTGAAATGTCAGCTTTGAAACTCTTTATGGCAGCCAATTAATGCTATCTCAGTTGATAATACTACTTAAAAATTACCCTATTGTGAGTCATTGATACTTTTTATTGTCCTTGTCCAGAGTTGCGGCGTTAAAGTGTATTTCTGGTGGTGACCAAGCTTCTGAAAATAGTCATGGAAGGAAGAGGGTAATGTGAAGTATTTGAGTTCTTAAATCATGGTATTTAGTGAACCACATTCTGTAGCACTCTTCCTATTCCCTACAAACCAAGTAATGATTGTTCCTGTTCATAATAGGAAGGAACAGTGGAGTTCCTGTGCAGGCCTGTCAGGTTGTCTTGTGGTCAACAACACTCAGCTGTTGTTAGCTCATCAGGGGATGTTTATACCTGGGGAAGATCGCAAAAAGGAAGGTACATGTGCTGCCAAAAAACATCTCTACAGAATTAAATGCAGTTATATTTATGACAATGAAAGTCTGCCAAATGTTAAATCATCACTGTGCACCTGCTTACAGCATCAACATTGACAAATATTTTTCTGTTAACAAGGTTACTGTTAGTTGTTAATTCAGAGAAGAAACCACATGATATATAGTACTCCCACTTTGTGTGGGGAACAGGACGGCTTCAAGTCGGTATTCCCAATAATGGGGTAGTCAGTGGGTTACTACTGGTATTTATTAAATGGTACCAAGTTTCTAAAGGTGTGGCACAAGTAAGTAGGGATGTGCCTTCAGTCTTCCTCTGGTTAGTGTTTGCTAGCTAAACAGGGTTGATTCACCCACCCACTGTATTTATCTATGCTCAAGAATTTACCATTTCTGGTTTTATGTGCTGATTAGATTTTGTGGAGTATAACCAAATAAATGTTTTCTTCCAAATTTCTTGCTGCAGATTGGGCCATGGAGATTTAATTGAGGAAGAAGGAAAATCTGTTCCTTTTCGGGTTGAAATTCTCCACATGCACAGGTTGGTTTTATTGAAGTGAGATTTGGTTTTTCAAATGTTTCTGAAATGCTTCAGGAATGATTTTTTATCTTTCTCATGATGTTCTTTTACTGATGTAATGTTGGTTGCAAATTGAATGCCATTGACTGATTGGTTCAGAGTCTTCCTCCTCTTTTAAGCAGAGTGTAATTATCTTCTTTGCTTTAGGATTAATGTGTTGTCAGTAGCTTGTGGAATGGAACACACGTTGGCTCTCTGCAGTGATGGGGTAAGAGCTAGCCAAAGTTATGAACCTGCTGCTTGCTCTCAAGAAGATCAAGATCAGAAGTTTTGCTCATTCATCTCAGCAAGAGAGTTGAAATTTTGATGTGAATAATATATTATAGTAAGGCTGAAGCCCCTCAGCAGACTTAAAGAAGGGCTGCCCTCATCTTAGACAGGAACCATTAACCATGATTCATATCCTTAGTAAGAGGAAATACATAATTATTAATATGTTGATGTGAGGGTAGCATGCATGAAATATGTGTAATGGATTAATTTGATTATTTCCTCAATACATTTTAATCTGTTGATATGAGGCAGCTGGGAAGAAGTATGTGTTAGGGATTAATTTGATTATTTCCCTATACCTAGGTGTATTCTTGGGGATCATCAGAGTATGGACAGGTAGGAAACACAGCAGTGGGAATATAGTTATCAGCATCCTTGTAAGATTGCCGTTTTAGTTTTAAAAATGCAGAGCCCCAGCTACCTGACTGTCACTTGTGAAGTGCTTGTTGCCAACGAGCCAGCCGAGCGAAGACGCTCGGCTGGCGAGGCAGCAGAGAATAGTGCCGCGCGAAGAATGGTGTATGTGAAAAAATTCTCGATCGGCATTGAAAAGTGTAAGTGTAAGGTGTAAGGTGTAAGATGTAAGAATGTCTCAGTTTAAGCCAATTGCAAGGAAGGAACTATTCAAGCCAATGAAAAGACGTGTTACATTGTAAATGAAAAATTCAGTGTTGTTTTTTTATGCTCTTTCAAAGCAACAGTTATACAATACAACACGATTCATATTCTTTGTTATGTTATTCTTTATAATGTTACATTAATAACAAGAACTATTCACATCCTTTCACATGTTCAAGTTATTAAATGACTTGGTTAATATTACCAAGCCCTTAAAACCTTAGTACAGTTTCCATGTTACTCTTATTAAAAACCCTTTTATCAATTGGAAAAAACTATGCCTCAGCATAAACCCCCTTATCAAACCACAAATTGATCGCTCGTTGGCACTCTATCGATAGGTATATATCTAGTTTAATTTGTAGTTTTTAACTAGTATATGAAATTCCTACAAAAATTTCCCATGGTATAAGCTATCTGGTTTCATTTGATTGTAACAAGCTCTTTTTAGTGACAATTTTTGTATCAGTTAATGCATTATTTGGAAATAATTTCATGTTTTCACAAAAATAGTTTTAACAATGGTGTGTTATTTTGTTGTAAAGCTTGGCCAAGGAGACATGCAGCAACAGACAAGGCCTGTTTACATTACTGAGCTGTCGGACAAGAAATGTATAGCAGTTATGTGTGGACACTATCACTCTATGGCTCTATCAGCAGATCACCGGGTGTGGTCATGGGGATGGGGTGTCCATGGACAGTTAGGAGTGGGTAGCATTGAAGATGCACTCCTGCCAACACATGTGCAAACACTTGATGAATATCAAGTGACTGCACTAGCTGCTGGATATTCACACAGTGCAGTACTTACAGCTCAGGTTGGTTTTGGTTTCTTATTATAAATTCTGCACCTGAATAAGTAATTAAAAGCTTCTTTTTAAATGATGAAATGCAGCGGCAGAGCAATATTCAAAGCCAGATCTAATCCAAGTGACTAGAATACTGGTGTTCCCCCTGAGACAGGATTCCAGTACACAGCAGGCTACCCCCTTTCCCCCCTCCTCCCCCCCCCTCTTTTTAGCACTGTGTTAGGTTTTCTCTTAGAGTTTTTTGGTATTCATTTTACTGAGAAAAGGCACTGTAAGAGAAAAGAGTCTTCCCCAAGAACATGCAAACATGATAATGATGTAACAAGAGTTAAAACATGGACCTTGTGATCTAGAGCCTGGCATACAAACTATTAGTTTATTATGTCTCCCATCCAGTGAGTTTTGTGCCCTGACCAAAACATTGTATTTTGACATGAGTGTTTCTAACCTGGGTTATGAGACGAGAGACCCTGCAGCTATGAAAGAACTTAATAGGACTCACATCAAGTAAAAGCCATACATTTGAATTATTATGGTAAATGAAAGAGTGGCAATGTTTTCCAACCTCATTTAAAACCATTTCTTTTTTAGGGACAAGTCCTCACATTTGGAGGAGGTATGTGTTTCCCAGTCAAGCATTAAACATAAAATCCCTTATATGTATTTTTGTTTCAAATTGGTTTGTTTTTTGTTCATTTTGGAAAAGCATTAGGCAGTAAAGTATGGTTCAAAAAATTAAATTTTGGAGACCAACAATTGAATGGCAATTGAACGAAACCTTATGCTTTTAGGCAGATTTATAGATACCCTCCCTGTGATCTGCTGGTATTTTTTAAAATCAAGTTTAATTTATAGTTTAGACTGAGTATAAAATACAAATCCATGTATCATTGTCTCGCTCTTCAAAATTGACTGACTTGCCTTTATTCCTTAATGATATTCAGGTTAGTTATCTCTGATTTTATAAAAACACTTGCCTAGGTAATTTATGCATCTTGTGGTGATTGTTTTACATTAGGATTGTATGGTCAGTTAGGGCTGGGAACCAACAGTAAGCAGACACTTCCTGTGCTTGTGGAAACATTGAAGCATGAGAAAGTATACTTGATTTGTTGTGGATCCTTTGAAACTGTAAGTATCATTGCCAAATTGGTAATTGTGAAGAAAGACTCCCTGATAAAATCTATTGGCTGACAGATCGCTTACAGTGTACCGTCCAACTGTTGGTCATCTGTTGGCCAACAGTGAGTGTAAACTTTTGGCAGACAGTTGGTTGTCTGTTGGGCCACAGTCAGGCAACAGTCCACAGACTATTGGTCATCAGTCAGCTGACAGTCGGCCCACAGCCAGCTGAGAGGGCTTTTCAGAGAGTTGTTCTTCACAATTATCTTCAACTATTCTTAGGTTTTTTTTTTTTTTTTTTAGTATTTGCACCATATTTGTTACAGGAAAAGATTTCTTTCTAAATTTCTTGTGCCAGAAAAAAGGATAATTGTGGTACAGTGGGTGATGATTAATTTTTTGTTTTCAGCTGGCTATCACAGAAGACCAGAAAATTTATAACTGGGGAAGAAGTCCACACTTTTTCAGATATTGTATGGTGAGCAGAATTAAATTTTTGCAACTGTTGTCATTGGCTTGATAATAAAAGTCATGGTTTTTTTGACTTGATACCAATGTTTAGACTACAGTGAATACAGAGTTTCTGAGAGAATCATTTCATCATGTATTTCAGAGACAGGAGTATCGATCAAAACGCTCAGCACAGGCGTCACTTCCTTCCAATGCAACATCACACAGATTACTGCCTGTGAGATTGGACTGTACTTTTTCATCACGAATTAAAGATGTAAGTTTCCACCAACTCTAAAAGTTCTTAGAATGGACATTTGTGTCTGATTGTGGACAGTAGCTTCTTGCTTCTTCTGGTTATGTTTCAGGCTTGTTTTAATGGTCTTCAGAGTTTGAGAGTACTACAAAATTTTAAATATTGTTTTGTCAGGTGTGTTGCGGCAATTGGCATTACATGGTAGTTATGGAGTCTGGTCAACTTTACAGCTGGGGATATGATGATTATGGACAACTGGGGCTTGGTGGAAAAATGGAACCACAGGTTTGTCATTAGCTTAATCTGAAATTTTTTACCCAAAGTATTTTGTAATAATTATTGTCAAAACAAATCCTTTAGTACATGGATCTTATTTATGAATAAATGGCAAAATATTTAATTCCACTGTTTTTTTTCCCTTCCTCTAAGATCTGCAGTTATATGAGGGAAGTGTTAAATGGTATCTTAAACGGAAAGTGGGGGACATGTGTAACTTCTGAGAGAGTATCATTACTTCACTTTTTGGAAAAACTGCTACCAAAAAAAAAACCTTTGATCACGCATTTTCAACTGCTCAGTCAAATGGCAAAAACTATCATCAACTCCTGTGTCAAACTTGAATGTGTCCAAACTATACGATAGTTGATGATAGAGGATGATGTTGATGATGTGTAAAAAAGTGCTTGTTCAAATGTGCATGATAGTTAAAACTCTCATCAACTAATTTCTGTAAGTTTGAGCAAGCTTTAATTTAAGAACCATTGAATCTGTCAAGGTTTAATGCAGCTTTTCCAAGTTGTCACTAAATTTTTGTTGTATAAAATTTTTATCAGATGACCCCCAGACTACTTCACAAACTATCAAGCAAGAGTATTACAACTATAAGTGTTGGTGCAGAGTTTTCTGTTGCTATGGATACAGCTGGATATGTGTGGGTGTGGGGACGAGCTGACTCAGGGCAGGTAAGTGAATCAAACACATAATTATTAGTGAATAAAAGGGGCACGTTTCTTAAGAAAGTGTTTCACTGCTTTGGTGGGAGAAAATAACAGGGTAATTTAGTAATTATGACCCAAGTTGATAATGTAAATTAACCATTGTAAAGAGTTTCAAAGCTCACATTTTGAGTGTTTACCCTTCGTCAGAGCGTCATAACTATAGCTTAGTGCTCGTCGCTCTCATGAAGGGGTAATGCTGAAAAGGTCAGTTTTGACACTCTTTACAGTGGCAAATTTATGTGATCAACTCAGGACTGATGATACCAAGTAACATATATTAATTGTTAGGTTGTGAGTTAACACATGACTTGTCAATGATTGTTTTCAGGTGTACTTTAAAATTTTATAGCTCAATCCTGTACACCTCTACATCAGTGAGCACATTCTCTATACTATTTTCTATACAGTTTGTAAGGTGCTGCCAAGGAGAATTTGTTTAACAATCAAAAACTTCTTTATTTTTTGATCATTTCCCTGTTCTCATGACCTTGATGTTTGATTTAGGGGTGATATTGTTAGGAGAAATCAGATGTTAGTCACTCTTAGAGGTCAAAGGGTTATTACAGAAAATGAGAGAGAATGAATACCTTGTCGTGATTGCAGGTTTCCAACATTTTCAAGCATCATGTGAAAATGTAAATTATTACAATAGTGGAAAATTTTTAAAGTTAAACATCTGCCTATTAGGTGATTTTTGGCATATACTTCCTGTAATTAGATTTTGAATGCTTCCTTTTAATCTCACAGTTAGATTTATTTTACTGTTAGCTCGGATTAGATTTTGGTACCAATGGTGTTGGCAAGAAGGAAGTTTTTGTGCCTTGTCAGTTAACCAGTCTCCCTCCAATGAACAGAAAGGCCTCCATCTCAAGTGAGGTAAGATTTATCAACTTTAACTGGATATATAACTAACCACGCTGCTCTTTTAATTTTGATTTCAACATATCTTTAAAAAAACATATTAATAAGCTTATTTGTGTGGTGAATGTTTTAGTTCATACATTGTCCACTCAACTGTGGTCAAACAAAAGATATATTTTTTTGGTGGTGCACTGGTATCACAAATAGTTAAAGGGGGCAAGTTGCTGAAGAAACTGTGGTGCTGTATTGGTGGAGGTGTTACAAGAGACTTTAGAATTGATTTTATCGACTAAGTTGATATATAAATTTAAATTTGCAACTGTAAATATTTTATAAAGCTTATCATTGGAGCACCAGCCCTTTGTCATTTGCTCTGATGTAGGGCTTATGCCTGAAACATCGACTCTCTGTGGTTACCTGTTTACATTATCATGATCAACACAGTTGAGAAAAACCAAATTGTGATGTATTTCAAGTTTGTTGCCATTACTAACAGTTAGAAATTGTTTCAGCATTCTCTGAGATCTGATTTAAACACTGATGTGGATATTGTGTGGGATTTACCAGATCTCTCATCAATCGGTATGAGGACTTTTTGTGTTATGATCAGCATCTGTAATTGATAAATAAAATGAAAAAAATTATATTTTGTGAATTGACTTGGTTGATTTTCAGCTTCATCATCCTCATGATACAATGCATTCATTATTATTTTTTTTAACTTTACCCTTTTGATCTTTCGTTCTTTGTTACATGGATGTTTTTGGGATTTGGTTTCAGGCAATAAATCAGTGCCTTATGGCAGAGAAGCTCTTTCCATCGCCTTGCATCAGTTGAGTGATCAGTATCCTGCACAGCCATTGATCAGGTACACAATTATGGTAAATTACTAATTAACAACTGCATTGCTAAGTAGAGGTTGGGTGCCTGAGACATTCAGGGGCTTCCACTATTGGTGGCTAGCTCCTTGATGGAGAGTGCCCCCATGGCTGGCAAATCCTGGCAACCCAGCCATGAGCCCCCACACAGGAAAGGGTAGTAGGCACCCATCACTCTGAATAAACTGCCTGGATGATGAGCTGCCATTCCAAACAACACTGAACATTCATGCTCAAAGCACAAACAAAACACTCAAACGATGAGCATATGGAATTTGGACACATGCGTATATGCAAAAACCAATAACTACTAGAGAACACTGATGCTCTTTGCTGTTCGCTCTGTTAAATTGCATTCAACTGCATCAAAAGTAAAGTGAACAGTGTGCTTGTAAATCCTGAGTGACCAATGTCTAATATCTCCTAGCAGTAATAATACTGCTGAAACATTCATTAAATCACGATAATCAAAAAAAAAAAGGAAGCTGCTAAGAAGCTTTGATTTGTTAAATATATTTTCCTTTTTAGTACCAAAGGAAATGTTAAAATAAGAGTAACAAAAAAGTTAAGCTTGATATCATTTCACATATTCTAATTAATTGTTAGGTAATGCTCTTATGTAAGTTACCTAATATCTACTTTGACATATCTTTTAATGCATTTTTGAGAGGCATCTTTATTGACCTCTTTCTTCTTCAGGCACTGTTTGGATATTAGGGATTATCTTGCAGCTGCAGTTATTTATGAAACTGTAGGTGACTGGCCACAGGTACGTTGTACTGACAAAAAATAATTACAAACCTTGAAGAAATTATTTCTTGATATTTTAAGTGCTTATGTCTTGTGGAAAACTGGTTTACTCATTAATAAAGGGTTAAGTTTTTAAAGAAACTGTGGTACTGTGTTGGTGGGGAAGTAGTTTCAAAAGAGGCTTAAAGCTGACATTTTGAGCAGTAGCCCTTCATCAAAGTGAAGGAGGAAGGGCTTATACTTGAAATGTCAGCTTTGAAACTTAGTTAATAAATTATCAACCAAATTATCTTGATTTTGTAATAGTCAAGAATGAAACTTTAGAATGATAAAAGTTTGCTATATTTAAAAAACTTGGGGGAAAAAAAACTCCTGGTGGATAGGTAACAATTTTTGTATAGTGTACCTTCAAGTAAAGTTGAGTTTCCCTTTGTTATTAGGTCCTTGGCTACAGTTTAAGATTTCTTAATGATTGTTACACTTCTGCATCTTGTGATGGAATGAGGGACAAACTCCTTTCTTCAGCTTTTGACATCATGCATCATGTTATCAGGTAAGGATCAGTAAAATGATAGAAGGGATTTCATTGATGTAAAGTTATGCTGTTTAAAAGAATTTAATTCCTGCATTTTGTATTTATCCTTAGAAAATTCACAGAAGCTCAAATGAATGATGAACATTCGACACAGCAGACTGTATGGCTGCTACAAGAGGTGCCTCATTAATCCTTTAACTCTGTAACTGGCATCAATTTTCTTGTACAATAGGCCCCTAATGTTGGAAGGGTGGATAATGCTAGCCACTCGATAAATGTTCATCTGCTGGATAGCGCAGTATGTTTTGTTAATACTTATCCACTGGATAGTAATTTATCTGTTTTTTGGGAGGAAAAGTGATGTCGGTGATGACTATTTCTGGAAGCTTGAAAGGGTTCAAAATTATTAAGGTGTTAGTTATGTTTGCTATTTGTTATGTGTCATTTATTATAATAGTATTTAATTATTTCCCTTGGTTTTTTTTTAATGAACTTCCCTCTGCATTGAATCTGTTGATCATGTTTTATAGGTTTTGCAGTTTTGGACTCACAATAATCTCCCATTTGAGAGCTTGGAAGGATTTTTACTGAAGAATTTAGATGTCCTTGGCTATGCTCTCAGTTTATTGTTAATCAGGTAATTTTGGTTGTTTTATCCTATAAAGGTCTACAGTTTTAGTTAAGATTTATTTTCCAAATAAAATTATAGTTACCCTTTGGCTATAATAAATTTACAAAACTTTCCAGTTGCAAAATAGAGGTCATATTAAACATTGTATGAACTAATTGATAAATTTGTATAGTGATATTTCCGATTAATCTGTCACAATAAAATCTATAAGTGGCAAGGCCCAAGTGTAGATTCCAACATAAAATTCTGCCAATTTTGAACTTCATATTCTTTTAAAGAAAAAAATCAGAGAAGTAAGGCAATGCCAATTTTTCTGCTTTAAACTTATTATAAGCTTTTTAAAATTTGCTATCTAAATAGTAATGGTAATTTTCTAGTACCCTCATCTCCATCTATTTTGTAAAGATATATAGGTGCAAAAAAATACATAGAGACTAATAACATTGCCTACTCCATATTTTCAAATCATGAAACAATAATGCAAGAAAGTGTAACTAAAACTAGAAATGCACCTTTTTGATTTAAAGGTTGACCACCATACAATTTTCACTTTTCAGAGATCATTTCCTTTCCACGCCAAATAAGGATGCTCAAGGATCAGGTTCTGCAGAAATCAATGATACAAGCAAAACATTGCCACAAAATTTTACTGTTGAATTTTTCAACAAAGTTGTTACTCATGTGGTTCATCAGCTACAAGAGGATGATTTGGGTGAGGAGTATGCCTCAGATTTGAAATCTGTTCTCGCAAGGTACAGCAGTACAGAGGATTCTCCGACCTCAAAAGATGAAACGTTTGCCCAGCCATTTGCACAGCTAGATGCAGGCATTCGACTGAAAGATTTCCATGCAGCACAGAAACATCTCTGGCAAGAGATCTTAGACAATATCAAAAAAGATCTGGACAAACACCCATATATTGCCTTATCCATGACTGCTGCAGCTACCATAGCATCTGCAGCAGTTTCTCAACAAAGAGGGTGGAGGGGAGAGGGGGAATTGATCACTGAGCCACAACTGCAGGCTGATGTTGTTTTGTTTACATGTAACCATCATTTTCCAAGAGTGTATTTCCAGGAGTTTATTTTGCCAGAATTTCAGCAACGAATGTCAGAATTAGTGATGCCTTTGAAGCATACCACAAAACTACTGTTGAAGTATTACTCCAGGCAAGATGGTTTCTTGCCAACAGCCTGTCCTATCTGTGTGTACAACTCCATCAGAATAGAACAGATGGAAATTGCAGCAGTGCAAAGTGGAAATATTGAGAACATGCCAACCAAGCCATGGGATATTTGACATCAAGACAAGATTTATGTTTTGTTTGTTACTCTTCACTGTCTAAGAATTTCATAATTGACTTGTCAAGTGAAAAAGTTAAAAAAAAGATAAAAATTTTCCTGTAACTTATTATTTGGTCGCATTAGAGGTAGGCTTGCTTACTAGCTGTTGTTTGGGAATATGGGCCCATGCATCTCCCTTTCCCTCCACCCCAGTCTTTTCTCGGGGAGGAGCAAAGACCAGACACAAGAGAGTGGCAGAAATCAAGCCTACATTATAGGATGACTCCAGAGAAAAAATGTTTTACTGGTGCAGTATCCATCTTAATTCTCTTTATTAAAATAACAAAATTATTATTGGGGCAACTTTTTCCTCAAAATATTTTTTTAGCATTTGTTACCATAAGAAATCAGCAATTATATTGAAAGTTAAAATTTACAGTTCAAGTCTATTAATTAAAAGGTGACATTATTGAAAGAATTTTCTGTAGTATCACACAACTTTTTTGTGGAAATAAGACAAGAAAGGATTGTTATAAGAATAACTTTGAATCTTACATAGATTTAAACTAAAAGAGGCCATCTGTGAACATTGTGAGTTGTATCTTGGTTTATGAAATAAGTACACATCCAGTGAAAAGCGTCATTTTACAGAGGCCACAAAACAATAATGTAAAATAAACCATAAGATATGCAGAGAAAAGACACTAAATTTATGTTAACTTATTAAAAGATTACTAATTGCAATTACACACAATGTTTGTACAATGATTTTTTCTTGATGTAGCTTTTCATGTTAGTTAAAGGGAGAAAAGAATATTAACAAGTATAAAATCCTCCATCATGTTTTCTAGAGTACCCGCCATTCGTTGCTGCACTGTGGTGACTCTCTATAGAAGGCAACAAAGAATTTGAATTATGTTGCTATACTTTATCACTTCAGGTCTGCCACATGCAGTAGAGAAATATGGAGTTTTTGGATGGTGATATGATAGGACAAAAGTTGGAGTTTCAGCTTGTGATATTCACAACCATTTATTTAAAGCAAAAACAAATAATGCTCCAAAATTTTTAAGATCTAAATTCTCTTGTCCGAAAAACCACAAATCTACTGAAAAACAGTCATGAAACTGATTCTTTGATTGACAAATTGTAGAATAGATACTTTATTAGTAACCACAAGTTTTAAAGGAGCTCCTGAATATTTGGTTTATCAAACCAAACAGGGACAGATATATTGACACAGGTTGTAGATGACACTTGGGGAAAAATTTCAGCTAAATTTTTCTACACACAAAAACTGTGATGTACTGAAGCTCCTCCAATTCTTATGAAAAAGTTTTTAAGACAATTTCCCACACTCACCAATAGCACCATTTATACTGTGTATGCTCTGCCGCTGTACGCTGGTGCTTTTCATCAGTGGAAGCTTATAGAGGTCAATTTCTGGTGCTTCTGGAGGAGGTCTATTCTTAAGGACACGCCTATACCAATATGATGTAAAAACATCTTAGTGTAAAATTCAACAGATGTTACAGGCTAATGTTACAGCTATTTTGCCCACTACAGTTCAAGAAACAGGACTGCCCTCATCTTCACAAACATCTAATTCTCTTAAGATATATTTCTGATTTTTCCCATTTTTTATGATTTTCTGAAAAATTGTGAAGTTGCTATTTACCAAATGACTAAGTAATGAAAAAAAATTTATATCTGTATTTCTGATAGTTCAAACATTGACTGCCAAAAATATCCTTGACTTTCAAGTGAAAATCCTTTAAAGTAATTTTAAATAGGTATGGAAATATTGAGTCCAACAGGACAACATTGGCACATGAAAGAATCAGGCCATGTGACACAGCTCTAACATGGTGTTTCTCCCTTGAACACCTAAGATCTGAATGTCAATTCTCCACTGTAGTTGCTGCACATTTCCTTGTAAATTAATTATGAGAATTTGGTGTTGGATCAAAATAATAACTTTTACCTGATAAGTTTGTGTACTCTCAATGTAATGAGTGCATATTACAGGAGAGAAGTTACTTGTTATTCAACAAAACAAAAATGCCTTACCCATGTGGTAAATTAGCTGTTTCTGGTTGTACCAAAGTCTCAGCTTTGGAATGAAGGAACTCTTGGTGATGGTCATATGTTGATTTGATGACAAAATCCAAGCTGTCATTTGGTGCCTGCAATGAAAGGCAAATGAGATCAAAAGCTTTAGAGCTGTGATTTAGCAGTAGTCATGATAGCAAGTTTCTCTAGTGAATTTTAGAGGAGCAGAAACATTCCTCTTAGTCTCTTGGTAGCTAGATGCATTTTTGAGTACATGAAAAAGTGTCTAAATGCCTGGTAACCACATTTCTAAACAAACATTCGATACACCTCGGAAGTTTGAAAGAACCTCTAAGTGGAAATCCTTTGTAAATCTATGACTCAGCCAGCATTTAGACACAGCCGATTGCTTAAGGACAGGGCTGTTACTCAGCAAAAAAAAAGAATTGTCTAGACACGAAGTTTACTGGTATCTAGGACTCGACAAGGGCACTTTATGCTTCTTGAGGGAAGTAATCAAGCTTTCAATTCAGAGGTAACTCACTTCATTAAGTTTCCTTTTTTGATATATGACAGAAAAGAGAACTTGATGAAGTAAATTACATATAAATGGCTTGCGAATGTTTATTAATGAGGCTTAAATTACCTTATGAAGTAAGATATTTATGCAAAACTGTTAGTGTAAAAATAAACAAAAGTTGCACCTGTGGATCATAATGGAAGACTTCTCTCCTGGAACTCGCCAGCGTTGCTGTTTTGTTGAGTCTGTCCCACGGTGTTCCTTCTTGGCCTTCCTGCCTCAACGTTCCCTTCTCTTTAACCTTAAAGACCAAATAAAAAATAGTGGTTGAAAATCTGAATATTGGCCTCTTGTCCTATTTAAAGGTTCTTTTTCTTTCATGAATATCGTGAACTTATTTTTTTTAATCTCATTTTTTTTAAAGTAAGACTTAGATTTATCTTAAGCTTGGATATCTATATACGCTGTAAACACATATTGTTTGTCATTGCCGTTTACGAAGAACTTTAAGTAATACTTTTAAAGATGAAATCGGTATCTGCGGAAGCTGAAAATCGCTTGGCTGGTCAATTAAAAAATTAGAACAGTCGCCATGCGAATTCACAGCTTTGTTCCCTGGATATTTTCTAAGGCTATTATCCTTTTATAATACATTCCGTGAGTTTTTGGATAAAAATGAAGAAGGAACATTCCTACAGTATCTGTCCCTTTTCTTTTGTTCACTGTTGGCGAGGCGATTTCACATACTTAGTTGATCCTAGTAACAGCAACATTCATGTAAACATTTGGGAACTTTTACAGACAGGAATCTCTCGAGATTAGACTACCGTGATTTGAAAATTTGTGCAAAGTTTACCTGTTTTCCTTGCTGTCCACAAAAATCGCTGTCATTCTGAAGTCTTGGGAAAGGGTAAGGATCGCGTGGCATCTTAACTTCACAAATAGATCGGAAAATTAAGCGACCCAGGTAGTGCGTGCTTTTGGAAGCTGATTGTTTGAGAAATATTTCTTATTCAGGCGCTTCGTGTTTCCATAGAAACAAATAATTGCAGGAGTACTGGGCTCGAAAATGAATCCCATGAATATACCCGGGCAGTTCGCTCAATGCTTGCACTTCCCGCGCTGCTTTGCAAGTGTATTGTAATATGGCGGTCGAGAACACGTGTTGGATACATGGTACAGAATAACCTCATGCTTAATCCACGTAGAGGTTGAATGGAGTGGAAATTTTCTTTAGAAACATTGAGTTAAGATGGGAATCCAGGGATTACAGGAGTATGTCGAAGCAAACTGCCCTACAGCTTGCCAGCAGGTCGATCTGAAAGCTGTTCTTTATGGGAAAAAAGTGAACAACACGGACAAGGCTCCGGTTCTGCTCGTCGACGCAAGGAGCTGTTTAAAACATCTTTATGGGCCCACTATAGATTGGGTTTGTGGAGGACAGTGGAATGAAATGTTGCGAAATGTAGAAAACTTCACAAGATCATTTCGCCAACAGAATATCGAAATTGTAATTTACTTTGACGGCGAAGGCGAATCATCAAAGTTACATCAATGGATCAAAAATCAAAACGAAAAAAGACAGTTAACAAGGCAAATCCTTAATCATGTCATGAAATTTAGTTGTTATCCTGGAAAAAGACTATATTTTCCACCACCCGTTGTGGACACGTGCCTTCGACTTGCATTCCTCAGCTGTGGTGTCTCAGTGTGTACGTCTATGGACGATCTCCACAAAGAGATGGCGACTTATTGCCAAGGGGAGGATTTCGCGGGTGTGATCGGCCATCATGCAGATTTTCTTCTCTTTGACGTTCCGAATTATTTTTCCGCCGATCACATAAAATTTTCCAAGAAAGACATTACTACGATGCGATTCAACCGGGAAGCAGTCCTGAACGAACTGAAACTGCACCACGATCGTCTAGGATTGTTCGCTAGTTTGCTAGGTACGCCTTTTATTCCAGAAGACAACCTTGGTTCATTCTACTGGAATCTTTTAGGTCCGGATCATCCCTTAGCAAAAGTACAGGTTAGTTTTTTTTTAATTTTTAATTTCATGAATGATTTATTGAATGTCATTAATTGGTAGAGGCTTAGCAAAATATTCAAAATATAAACTTTTGTAGTTATTTTTCAATTTCTCTTATTCTTGCGGAGGATGCTCAAGTTGACCCTTTTTCTGACAAATCAGTCAATTTCAACCACTATTTTATGTGTCATCTATTGTAATTATTTGGTTTAAAATGAAATACTCTTGCAGCCAAGAATCATTTCGTTGAAGTCTCAAGAGTGTCTATCACACAGTTTCTTCCACATTAACCATTTTAAATCCAATGAAAAGGATATGAGAAGCATGAAAACAATCACTAAATGGCAAAATCTTTGACCTTAAAAAATCAAATATCATGAAAATATTATTTGGAACAGTAGAGGGCATTTGTTTGGATATTTAGTAATCATGATTTAGGGTTATCAAATTTTTTTGTCACAATGAAGTCCTTACCTGG